TGACAAAACACGTAATGTTCGCTTGTTGTGTATTTTTCTATTCACCGCTCCGTCAACCATACAATAATCCTATATTTTTGGTAAGTTTGCTGCATTTGGTCACATAAACTCAGGAGTTCCTCTGATCATTAGGAGTACTTCAGTGTTCAGTCATGCTATAAATAATACTGTAGAGCCCAGATTTACCACAAACGCTTTGATTCATGCTCCTGAGCTGTGCTCCACTATGTCTCCAAACTTGGCTTTTTCTTCTCCTATTTTTTTAAATGATAATAACAAGCTTTCTGGAAGTTTCCACTGTCTGACAAATTTCTCTTGTAATCACACTTTTGCACAAACAAACACAGGAAGCAGGAATAAACAACAGAAAATGAGATCCATAAAGCAGATCCAGTTGAACTTCAGACACTCGGGAGAAGTGCAACACAGACGACTCTCAGAAGATCCCTTCTCCACGGAGCCAAACGTCACATGGAATAAAACTGCACAATTAAACCCGTACAGATGTGGTTCTGCAGCTGGAAATTCCTGCAAGATAAGACACCAAAAGCTGCAGACAAAGGAATCTCAAACAGTGGACGCACGGGCCCAAGCCGGGGTCAAATGTGCAGGAACTTTAACACCTGAGTCGGGTTTAAAATGCACTTTTACAAGCTACACGTGTCTGGTAGCACAGAGGTGTGTGCGCTAAAAGGCAGAAACGTTGTGCAAGAACCCATTTTTTTTACCTCTGCACCCGCAACAATTTACAGATTTCATGACCAGGCTTTCAACCTGCACAGATTATTACTCCAGATATCTTCCCCCATCTCGTAAAAAAAAAAAAATCTCAATTTGCAGGATATAATTAAACATTTACTGCCTGCTTCAGAGCCGCCCTATCACACTTTCATCATTTAACATTAAACAAAAAGAGAGGCATGTGTGGTCATTTCGCTGCGGCTAATTCATCAGAGAAATCTGAGTTGTGAGGAGGCTGCTGCTCACACAGACGCAGACAAGCTCAAACCGCAGCAAAGGCTCGTGGTGAACATCTGTTAGCCAGAGATAGGCCACTATCTGTCCAGAATGTCATTAAACAGGCCTGCTGTAGATTTATGTTCTCCCTGCTGGGCCATATGAGGCAGCCCAGCCACACCTACAGTATCCTCTAAATACATAGAACACACACACACACACACACACACACACACACACACACACACACACACACACACACACACACACACACACACACACACACATACGTACGTGCAGGCATCAAAGAATCTAGCAAAAGGATTTACTATTTTTAGGGTGAAAAGTGAACATTCATGCTGTTTTGTATAGACGCACTTGACAAGAGAAGGTTGTCACCATGACAACAACATCATACACAGGGTTAACATCATCATCGTCATTAATGGGACGAACAGTGGGGGGGGGGGGGGCTACAAGGTAGAAGGAGATGGACTGGTGTAAACTGGATTAGATTGGGAACAAATGGATTTGACATGTAGTATGTTTGGGGTTTTAGCGCCAGCGCTGCCGCCTGCTGGCTGAAAATAGGAACTGCAGCTTCTGTCTGACGGCTGGGCTTTATGAGCATTCGTCATTCAGGCTGAAAAGAGTAGAAGTAAGTTTTTACTCAGGTATAAAAACACGCAAACAAACGTTACATACATTACAATACAACTGATTCAGTATGAGATGAGTGAGATTCCACAAGAACGGACAGAAACGGTAAAACTTTCATTTTACTGAGAAACGCATCATCATAACTCCTTTTCTCTAACACAATTACTTGATTTTTCACAACAAAAAATAAATAAATAAAATGTTACAGCACGTTTTAGTGTCGGGAAATAATTTAGCATGAATCTGTATCTAAATGACTCGTTTAGGATTCCAAATTCTAAGTTTGACTTGGATTTCTTGACGTGCGTTCTGGGACCTGCCCCAAGACTTACGTACATGTTATGACTTTGGACTCAACTCGGAACATTGTGTGTCTCGGGACTTGATAAAACGCAAGATTTGTGAGTCCTAAGTTTGGAATCTGGACATGTATTGATCGGAATTGATTTGCAACTTATGCTCCCTGAAATTAGACGTATATGACGTTGGGACTCGTGTCTAGGGGCTTGACTTGCCTGCGTTGACTAGACACAATTTGAGACTCGTGTGTTTTGATTGAACTCATCTTCAGACTTGTATGACTTTGAACTGGGTACGATCCAAGACTTGAATATCTTGACTCGACACAATTTGATATTTCGTGTCTTGATTGGACATGTTGGGATTGGACTCAAATAAAGCCTTGCATGCAAAGACTTGTGACATGCAAAACAATGACTTGGTCCCACCTCTAGTCAACATTAAGGAAGTCTAACTATTTAATGTGCACTTTTTACTTCCTCTAACAAACGCTGCTTTCATAAGACACGCCGCGCCAGCAAAGCAGTGCAACACTGCCGTCCCGGCATGTCTTGTGAAAGCGCCGTGGCGGCATGGTGAAACAGGAATTTTGCTGCATTTGTGCCGCCACACTTGGTAGTAATATTACCGCAATAATATTCTTTTGTAAAAAAAACACACAATTGCACCACTTTCCCACCACAGTTTTATTACTTATAAACAACCTATGGGCTCCCAGATGCCACCTCAGCAAATTGGCAGCATTGTTTAATAAGGGTTGAGGTCCTGCCCCAAGTGGAGGAGTTTAAGTATCTCGGGGTCTTGTTCACGAGTGAGGGAAAACTGGAGCGTGAGATCGATAGGCGGATTGGTGCTGCATCTGCAGTGATGCGGGCGTTGTACCGGTCTGTCGTGGTGAAGAGAGAGCTGAGTCAGAAGGCGAAGCTCTCGATTTACCGGTCGATCTACGTTCCTACCCTCACCTATGGTCATGAGCTTTGGGTAGTGACCGAAAGAACGAGATTGCGGATGCAAGCGGCCGAAATGAGTTTTCTCTACAAGGTGTCTGGGCTCTCCCTTAGAGATAGGGTGAGAAGCTCGGTCAACCGGAGGGACTCGGAGTAGATCTGCTGCTCCTCCACATCGAGAGGAGCCAGTTGAGGTGGCTCGGGCATCTGGTCAGGATGCCTCCTGAACACCTCCCTGGTGAGGTTTTCCGGGCACGTCCAACTGGGAGGAGACCCAAGGGAAGACCCAGGACACACTGGGACTATGTCTCTCGGCTGGCCAGGGAACGCCTTGGGATTCCCCCGGCAGAGCTGGCTGAGGTAGCTGGGGAGAGGGAAGTCTGGGCGTCCCAGCTTAAGCTTGGTTTATGCTTGACGCATTCACTTTCCGTGCGGTGATGCGGCTCGCGGATGGAAGGTGCTTCACAACTCGCAGCGTTTATGGTTCGTGCGGCTCGTCTCTGCGGTGAGCCAATATTCTCCCAAACTGTAGGGGGCAGCATGGAGCTCTACGGCATGCACCCAACACTACACCATAGTAGAAGTAGAAATGACTGTTTACAACATGGCATTTCAGCATTTTTAACAGCGTCCTCGTCTTTTCCGACAGTGCGAGCTATTTCTCTCCAAGAATTATTAACAACACGTTGATCACGGTGATCTTTGAGAGCTGAATCATACAAATGTCTGTATTTACGAACCTCTGCCATACTAGTTCTTGTCAGTCCGCCATGTTTTTCCGCGTCTGTCCGTCCGCATGGTTAGAAATTTTCCGAGGTGCGCGTTGCGGAAATTCTGGGCCGTGCGGAGGCGCGGTGGAGGGACGTGGTTGTTAAAATGACGCAAAATGACGCAACTTTTCCGCGCGAAGCCGTGCGGACCTCGCGGACGCGTCAAGCATGAACCAACCTTTAGGCTGCGCTGCTGCCCCCGCGACCCGACTCCGGATAAGCGGCCGAAAATGAATGGATGTTTAAGTAAGGCAGCTATAGAAACTTTTACTAGTTTGACTGTGTTATTGGAGCCTGTGGAAACCCATTGTCCATATATATATGTATGTCGATGGTCATGATGGATGCTGCTCACACTGATCCAGGTTCTGTCGGAGTTTTCCTCTCCACTGTCGCTACATGCTTGCTCAGTACGAGGAATTTTTGTTAAGTCTCTGACACAAGTCAGTGACACTAGTCAGTGACTCGGTGGAATCTGCTGGGTGACCTTACCTAGGAAACTTTTAACCAATTGGTATAATGAACCAAGCTTTGATAAGTGGGCTTAATCGTAAAGTGCCTCGAGACGACTCATGTTGTGAACTGGAACTTTATCAATAAACTGAATTAAATTGAAAAACCAGTTTGCAAACCGAACCAAACTGATTGAGGACTTTAGGAGGTGCAGACCTAAGTTTAAGGAGCTGGGGTGGGCTACCAGTTCTCACCTGAGCAGGAGATTAAACTGGGATTACAAATGGAAACAGTTCCCACTCGGATTTTTGAAGAAGCTCAGATTTAATGTTTGCAGCAAGATGTTTTCTACATAACCGAAGGAATTTTCTGCCTTCTGTCAAAGCAGCAGCATCAAAACCCCTTCGGATACACAAACTGTTCTCAGGAGCCTCTAGAGTGTCGAAGAAAGAAAGAAACGCAAAGAACCTTCGTTCAGAGACTTCTGCCACAACAAAAATGTATAGATGTCATTTCTGCCTAGAGCAATGTACGGTTGTAGATTATTTACACACCCTCTGTCTGTGGAACAATGCCACACCAGTGTATTATTGCAACAACGGTCTATTGTTAAGGGCAGCTTAATGGGACTTGAATGCCAGACTAGTTGGTCGAGCTTTAAATCCCAAGCAATTACAAAAAAAGGAACAGAAAGAATTAGAAGAAGCCAAAAGTCTCCACGTTTAATCAGATCCTCAGGTTTGGCCAAAACAAAAGAAGGAGAGTTTTAGGGCTTTGTTTATCTCAAGCGCCCACATTTATGATCCCAAATCACATTCCAGGTTTTCTTCTCTGCTAAAGTTTGAGCACCATCTTACCTCGTTCAGCCGAGTTTAAGCATCTTTGGTAAATGATAGGACGTCCACGCAAAAAGAATAATTTAAATAATTTATTCCAACTTATTCCCTGTGTGTGCTTCCACAAAACAACTTAACAATGCATTAATAAAAAAAAGTCTAATAAAACTGCACAGCTAATCTAACATAGAGATTTCCCATCAGCCATCCAAAATATTTCAGGTATAAAATGTGTTTCCACTCCGTTTGTGCACAAAAATCAATGACCTACGAACTCTGCAGGTTCTTTATAAAATAAAAGTGGAACACTGACTGCTCCGCCTCGGCCGTCAGACTGAAGGAAATCTTCATTTGGGCTGTTAGGAGCTCTTGCAGCAGCCTTTGCGTTCCCCCTGAGCCTCGCCTGATGAAAGCTGGCTGGACAGAGTCACGGCGCAGATGGAGCCGCGGGTCACTTCTCTGCTCGCCACCTTCTTCTGGATCGCTGGAGAAAACAAACGTTTCACGACTCTGTCTCACGCCTTCAGTGAGCGTGCACCAAAGCAAAAGTCTCTTACCTTTCAGAACATCATTGAAAGCTGCCTCGACGTTGGTGGCGTTCAACGCGGAAGTCTCCATGAACATGAGCCCTTTCTTGTCTGAATCGAGGAAGAGTTTGAGAATTAATTACCGCTGATATTTAAAAATGATCTAATGGTTGAACAACAGTTGATGAACCTGCAAAGTCTTTGGCCTCCTCTGTGGGAACAGTCCTGAGGCTCTCCAGGTCCACCTTATTTCCCACCAGCATCACCACGATGTGAGGGTCTGCGTGGTCGTACAGCTCCTTCAGCCATCGCTCAACGCTTTCATAGGTCAGGTGCTTGCTGATGTCATAGACCAGCAGCGCACCAACCGCTCCTCTGTAATACCTGAACACACCAGGTGAGAGATGACACAATCATGGGTTGGATCTTCTACTGAGAGGAACAATCAATCCTTACATGGTCGCTGTGAAAGGGCAGGAACGCCCCATGTGTATACCTGAGAACAATAAATAAGGTAACTTGTGTAATTCATTACGCTGTTTTAGATGCCTCTAATAAAAACAATACAATACAATAAAATAACAACTTTTTTTAATTCAATATGGACAACATGGGTTAATTAATAATTATAAAAATAATTTTATTACTAAGTACTGAGCCCTGGGGAAGTTAGAGAAGAAGAAAAAAAATTTTTTTGTGAGATCTCAAGATTATCTTCAATTTTCTCTTAGGAAGTTCTGCTTCTCTCAGATCAACAGAAGTGATCACAGATATTGTGACACACACACACACACACACACACGCACACACACACACTTCCTTTGTTAATGATCTTGGGATCTCACTAAACAAAGTCGGGATCTTGCTAAACAAAGTCGGGATCTCACTAAACAAAGTCGGGATCTCACTAACAAAGTCGGGATCTCACTAAACAAAGCCGGGATCTCGCTAAACAAAGTCGGGATCTCACTAAACAAAGTTGGGATCTCGCTAAACAAAATCTGGATCTCGCTAAACAAAATCTGGATCTCGCTAAACAAAATCTGGATCTCGCTAAACAAAGTCGGGATCTCAGCAAAACAAAGTTGGTAACTCACAAAACAAAGTTGGTAACTCACAAAACAAAGTCGGGATCTCAGCAAAACAAAGTCGGGATCTCGCTAACAAAGTCGGGATCTCGCTAACAAAGTCGGGATCTCGCTAACAAAGTTGGGATCTCGCTAGCAAAGTCGGGATCTCAGCAAAACAAAGTTGGTATCTCACAAAACAAAGACGGGATCTCACAAAACAAAGTCGGGATCTCACAAAACAAAGTCGGGATCTCGCTAAACAAAGTCGGGATCTCGCTAAACAAAGTCGGGATCTCACAAAACAAAGTTGGGATCTCACAAAACAAAGTTGGGATCTCACAAAACAAAGTTGGGATCTCACTAAACAAAGTCGGGATCTCGCTAACAAATTTGGGATCTTGCTAACAAAGTCGGGATCTTGCTAACAAAGTTGGGATCTCACTAGCAAAGTCGGGATCTCAGCAAAACAAATGGGATCTCACAAACAAAGTCGGGATCTCACTAAACAAAGCTGGGATCTCGCAAAACAAAGCCGAGATCTCACTAACAAAGTCGGGATCTCTCAAACAAAGCTAAAACCAAATGAGGACCCAAAAACATTTTTTTCCTGTTACCTCCAGGGCTCATACATTTCTGAATGAGCTTTTTTTTTTTGTGCGGTATGCTAGTCAAAAGGTCAAAGCCTTTCACCTGACAGAAGAATGTCTTCAATGCATTGTGAGAACTAATTTAGACTTTTAACCTGTAACGTGTGAAAATGTTTGGAACCAATGAGGAAAACACCCTAATACTTGGTTCTAGAGGGGTGGTGTGTATTAACTTTTAGTTGAGGTTAGGGTTAAGTAGAGTGGAGTCACTAAAATAAATGGAATTCAATGACTGGTCCACACAAGTATATAAATACAAGTGTATGTATGAGTGTGTGCCCACGCTGAGGTGATGGCCCTATAGCGCTCCAGCCCAGCTGTGTCCCAGATCTGGGCCTTGATGGTGAACTGGTCTAGCTGAACGGTACGGGTGCTGAACTCCACGCCGATGGTGGTGCGGCTATCGTGGGTGAAATCATTCTTGGTGAAGCGGGACAGAAGGTTGCTCTTCCCTACGCCCGACTCCCCGATCAGAACCACTAGAGAGAAGCAGACCAGACCAGATCGTGAGTGAACTCGTTTTCTGGGACAAACTGATGAATCAGATATTTCTGCCACACTAAACCCACATCCTATGACATCACACCAACATGGCAGACACAGAGGCTGACTCAACTTTGGAAATGAGAGAAATGAAGAATCACTGCAGGTTTGAGACATCAAACACTAAATTTTACAGCTTTAATTAAGCAGGAAAAGTAAGGACTTGTGCTCCCGTGACAGGTCAAAGGTCAGAAAGCAATACAACCAAAGAGACAGGAAGTAGTCACTTCCTTATTGCCCTGCTCGGGCTCTTTCTTAGAAATTAGAGCAACTAGCTGCACCTGAAGAGATCAGGAAGAAACAAACTCGAGCTCTAGCTTAAACAATCACAGCTGAAGTGAACGTGACTCACCTTTAAAGACAAAGTTGTACGACTCATCCGACCCCATGCTGCAGTCAGTGCCGATGGGTCCCTGGATATCCTGGAGCCACTTTCAAAATGTGGAGGACTATTAAAACAAGTCCAGGACGACCTCACCGCCTTCAGTAAGGATCCTCTTCCCTTTTACTCTGGATTCAAGTCGCTGCTGAGGACAAAAGACGCAGCAGGATTCCTGATTGTCCATCAGCTGACGCCCGAAGGAGGGCAGAGGGAAGGTGAGCAGGTGGAACAGGTTAAACCACTCTCAGGGAGAGACTCCACCCTCTCAGCCTAATTTGTTTAACAATCGTCCTCACCCAGCAGCTGGAGGATCCGAGCGACAGAACAGGTCACGGTTTCGTCTCAGAATCTGGCTGTGGAGAATCGTTTTGATTTAAACTGGTGTTTTTTGTTCTTGTGGTTCGACTGAATTTAATGTTTTCTCTTCTGCTACCTTCAAAAAAATGAAACATTTCAATTAAAAGAAATTAAATTTGTCTTTTTAAATAGTTTGACAGTTTGTTTACAATAAATCAAACCTTTAAAGAAGGGAACTCCTGAAAATATGTCTTTGTGTCGATTATTTACAAATTACACACCTAAAGGTGACGTTTGGTGAATTAAAGCCACGAAAAAGCATTAATCTGAAGGATCTCCCATCACCTTCTCATCCGAGTTTTAGTGACACGTTACAATAACCGTCCCTTTATTAACGTTACTTATAAAGCATTAATAAAGTTTTAATAACTGTAACGGTAGCGTTAATAAAGGGCCACTTACAGAGTTTTAAATTAAGCCCATGAAGAGGAGGATGCAGGGTGGTGCAGCAGGATTGTCGTAAGGTTGCTGGTTCGAATCCCGCATGGGTGGAATTTCTGAGCAGTTGAGTTTCCTCCTACGTTGACTGGTGTCCCTAGGTGTGAGTGGGTGACCCTGTGATGGACTGGAGACCTGTCCAGGTTGTCCCCCTGCTGGACGCCCTGTGAGTGAATGAGTGAGTGAGTGAGTGAGTGAGTGAGTGGTTCGGAGACGGATGGGTGAACGTATCTCATTCAACATGTCAGCCATGACTCTCTGTACCCGTGAAACAAACTTCCATCCGGTTTTGTCTCCTGAAGTCGTCTCGACTCAGACGTTCACTGAAGATTTTCTTTAAAGCAACAATTTTCCCGCTTCTGCTCCCAAATGGTTGGTCGTCATAAACAACGGCGCTGTTGCTCGCTCTGGCTTTGCAGATAACTTTGCTTCCTACTTTTTTAGAGGGTTAGAAACTGAAACAGCGTAGGCCATGTTGATGTTAGCTCTAGTTCTAGCTCTTTGTCTGGTCTGAACTTTCTTCACTTCGCCTCCAAAGACATTACTCTCTTCCCTTTACTTCCAGGCTCCGCCATGATGCCGACAAAAAAGTAAAGGTCTTCTTCTTCTTGTGATTTTTACCAACAGTTTTACTGACAAAGCTAACCATAGCCTATCGGCACAGTATAGCCGTAAAGCAGGTCGACACTAGAGGTAGGCAATACACCAAAAATGTAACAATTCCAAAATGTACGTCTGTTATCGATGTCATTTTGCCCATGTCAATATATTAGGTGTTTGGAATAAAAGTATATATAGATAGATATCTGTATATATATGTAGATATCTATATATATAGATATATATCTATAGATGTATATCTACATAGATAATCTATATATCTGTCTGTGCACCGAAGCTGTGGAACGCATTACCACTGCTAGTGAGGCTAGCACCAACAGCTAGCATTTTTAAATCACGCCTGAAAACTCACTACTTCAACCTAGCTTATACAACATAATTATGAACCTCACTGACATCTGCACTGTTTATAAACTGACTCCACAATTATTGACTTCCGTATTATTGAGGTTCTTTGTAAAATGTTTTTTTTTTTCCTATTTTTACTTCACCCTGTGTCTTAATGATTTTTAGCTGTTATTTTTGGGAATTTTGTTGTATTTCCTTTTTATCTTTTATCTGTGTTCGACATGTTTATATAACGCCTGTTTAATTAACCAACATTTTTAGTGTACAGCGCCTTGTTTGGTTGTAATGCCTTGTGAATGCGCTTTATAAATAAAATTGGATTGGATGGATTGGATATAGATAATCTATATATCTATATAGATAGATATCTATCTATATATAGATATCTATCTATATATCTACATAAATACATAGATATCTATCTATATAGATTATATATTTATATAGATATCTATATATATGTGTGTGTGTCTGTTATATATCTATATATATCTATATAGATGTATATCTATCTATCTATCTATCTATATCTATATATATATATATATCTATATATCTATATCTATCTATATATATAGATAGATATATATAATGATGAAATGCCTTGTGGAGTGAAATAATGGGATTTTCCGGGCCAAAGCCATCATGTTTCACACACACATCTCTGCCATTTATAACAAATCAAACTGTTTGAAAATCGGTTGAAAATTGAGCAAGTTAGTTATTTAAATAGTACATGATGCACCACTTACACCAATGTTAGGAAAGGGGGCAGCTGCCTGAGGTAAGATGGCCGCAACGTTGCTACACCACACTCTATTGGCAAACAGCGCGGGAGAGCCATCTAGTGTTTATGTAAATGTCTATGGCCCAAACCACTAAAGTCGTTTAGTTTCCGGTTAGAAGAGGGCTGCAGAGGGCCGTCCTGTGTGAAGAACTATTTACAACGAATACAGATCCACGCGGCTTTCCAACGGACTGTTGTTGACACCGACCGTGGATCGTCCCTGAACGTCTCTGCAGCGATGCTCATGAGTTCATGCTGTAGCAGCGAGGTGTGTAGAAGAGCCGGTAAAACAAACGGTGAACCGAACTTCATTTTTACTGAACAGTTCGATCTCATTCACTTAACTGAAATATTTGGTCAAAGTTTGAATATTAAGCATCTTTGGTGAAACTTAAAATGTGTCATTTTTCAAAAACTGAGTAGAAGCAACCACACTAATCACATGACACAGGCGTCGCTGTTTTTGACCATGGTTTATTACTTTTTTTTTAGTACAGTACTGTTAAAAGTTAGTTCAACATTTTCAACTGGGAAATGGATTTTTACTTTTAATTTTCCGCCGAGGTGAACAGACAAAGCAAAGCTATCGAAGCAGTTGCCATGGTTACCACAACCACGATGCCGAGACCTTCAAGAAGGAAAATAATAATTATGATAAAGCCCCCTAGATTTCGATTGGAGAAAAGCACTCTGCCACCGAGTCACAGCTGTCTTTAAAGCCTTTTCATCACTTCTTAGGTTTTCCACATTTATGTGGAATTATTCAGCATCTAGGTCCTAAATGCACCTCAAAAAAAAAAAAAGAGAAAGAAAAAGAAAACCAAAAAAATCTGATTAAAATGAAAGAAAAAGTCGTTTGCATCATTCGTATTTATGCTAGCATCAACCAGAGATGCTGCTAAGTGATGCATGTTTACGGCTGGAGTCCAGAACCACGGTGTGGGACACGAGGGTGTCGGAGCAACCCGCTGACAACGCAGAGCAGGACAGCACTGCTACTTCAGAAAGACAACAGCACCGCACTCACGGGTGGGCACTTTAATCTGGAATGACAAATTACAAGTTTGAGGGGAAAACTGGAAGGCGTCTTGTTATGAGGCGCTTGCAATAAATAGTGGAAGCTGCTGGGCAAAAACAGCCACGCGTGTAGAAACTAGAAAGGTGAAAGATGAACGGGAGTTCTTGCTGTTGATGTTGAGAAAACGACCACACCGCCGCGCAGTGGCCGTGTCTACGGTCACTTACGGCACATGGGTCTGAATCCATTTGGAGTAAATGTTTGCCCACAACACTAAGCTCATTATGTTTGGAGGAAGTAAACAAGATAGAGAGAATTTCAATCATTCTGTCTAAACCAGAACCGCCTTTGAGAGGAGAGCGACCCAGTCCGACTCCGCAGAAACATCTGGATGGATGTCGGCAAAAACGAGAAAGCAACAAAAACAGGATTATGGGGAAGTAGGGAATGATCTGAGAACAGACGTGGAGAGTGAGGATCTTTCAGTTTCTTCTGTCAAGTTTGGGGGAAATCAGGTAAATTTCTCTTGCTTCTGTCTGTAGACGCTGGGTGTGTTATGAGTTAAGTGTGTGTTCATGAGTGTGTGTGTGTCTGTGTCAGTATGTACTCCGTGTCTTTACGAGGGCTGTGAACCCAGCAGTCTCTCGATAGCGGCGTTGATGTCTCCTCCGGTGGCGATGAGCGCCTGAAGGTTGGCCTCGCGGTTGATGAAGCCCATAGCGCTCAGCTGGTCTAGCTGGGTCTGGAACCGCATCTCGGGGGTCTGGGTCTGAGACGGAGACAAACGAGTTCATAAAGCTTCACGAAAGGAACGCGAGGACACCGTGAAGATGAAACGTCTGCACGGATGTTTACCGTTGCACTTCCTCCTCCACCTCCTCCAGCGAACATCTGGAGCATCTGTTGCATCAGCTGCTGCTGGGCGGCGTTTGTTCCTGTGCTGCTGGGCGACGAGGCAGGGTTCTCCGGGAGCACGCCCCCTCCCGTGGGCACGGCAGGGGCTCCACCTGGTACCAAACTAGACCAAAACAAGAACCGCAAACGGTGAATGAACATCCTCCGTGTGTGTGTGTGTGTGTGTGTGCGTGCGCGTACCTGGGCATCAGGCCGGGGGCTTCCGTCTGCAGCGTCTGTAGACCCTGTTGGATTTGCATTAGAGCCTGCATGGCCCGGGGGTTGGTCATGACCGACAGGGCTTCTGGGTTCTGCATCTGCAATCCAACCGAAACCAGAACCAAAGAGCATCAAATGTTATTTCCACAGAAATATCAGAAACTCCCGTGGGTCTCGAGCCCCGGACGCACCAGAAGCGCTACATGCAGCTGCTGCCGGGGACGTTTACTCTTATAATCACAGAATTCCTTCTAAATGACCACTGAATGTGGAGCTGGTAATAAAGTGTAAATAAAAACTTTCGGTGACATTTTAGAGACCTGAGCTGTTTTAAAACAGACTAGCTGTTAGCATATCAGTCCTGTCACTTGTAAACTTTATTTCTCCAAACAGAGGCCGTTCAGGGAGCTCTCTGCAGCAGTAAGAGTTTTAACACCTGCAACGTTACAAAACTAATTGTGATTTTTTATTTGATCTGTGACTGAAGATAAAAATAGTTCGTTACCTGCTGCAGAAAAACGGGCAGCTGAGCTCTAAACTGTTCTTGCAGCTGCGGGTTTCCAGCAAACAACGGATTATTCATCATTACCTGGTAAAAAAAAAAAGAAAAAGAAAAGGTTAATGAGTCACTCCACCACTAGGGTCTGCTCGTTCCCCGATGTTGGAGCAACAAAAGCAGACTCTGCACAGAGATTCACCTTTTTACTGTCGATCTGCAGAAAGGCCAAGATCACAATTATAACAATGGCCTAAACACGCGAGCGTTCACCTGTGAGGCTAACTCTGGGTTCTGAGCCAGCGACTGCATCATGCTGCGCATGTACGGAGCCGACAGCATGTTCTGCATCAGCTGAGGGTTCTCGGAGATCTGCTGAAGCAGACTCTGCATGCCCGGGCTGTTGAACATGCCTACAACACAATTATTTAAGTTAATGTTGAAACTAAATGACGCAGACCGGTGACATCACTCTGTCTCACCGTTTCCCAGACTTCCAGGATTGATGCCTAGAGGATTGGACACGCTGGGGTTGGTGGACCCTGTGGTGCTCGTGCTCCCTGTGGTGCCTGTTCCGCTCTCGGAAGAGGTAGAAGAGTTTGGTGGCCCCCACGGATTGGGAAGGGGCTCGCGGTTCTCTGTCCGCGATGGCTGGGCACCGGACTCGGAGTTCCCACCCAGAGCCGAGAACGGGTTGCTTCCAAACTACAACGAAAGAATTTACGTCAACTTGGAGCAACAAACAGACAAAATTTTGTTAATAATAATACATTTTATTTAAAAGCGCCTTTCAGGACACCCAAGGTCACTTTACACAAAACACGTAATAAAATACAATAAAACAATAATAAAACCCAAAGAAGAAAAAACAAAGAGAGAAAAAGTTCAAAAAATCAGAGGTTTTAGGCAGATTTAAACATGTGTGTTTTGAGTTTTGATTGGAAAAGGGTAAAACTGTCGATGTTCCTGATGTCTGGGGGAAGTGAGTTCCAGAGACGGGGAGCAGAGCGGCTGAAAGCTCTGCTCCCCATGGTAGCGAGACGGGTAGAAGGAACCGCAAGATGGATGGAAGAAGAAGATCTGAGTGAACGGGATGGGGTGTGAATACTTATAAGGTCTGAGATATATGGAGGAGAGAGGTTGTGGATTGCTTTGAAGGTATGAAGGAGAATTTTGAAGATGGACCTGAATTTAACTGGGAGCCAGTGAAGCTGCTGGAGAACCGGGGTGATGTGGTGAAAGGAAGGGGTTCTGGTGATAATACGGGCTGCTGAATTCTGGACCAGTTGCAGTTTATGAAGGAGTTTGTTGGGAAGACCATAAAGAAGTGAAGAAGTTAAGCTTTCTTTAACTGGAGGTGCAGCGGTTAGTCTAAAGAATTCCTAACAGGAAGTGTTTGGAGTTTTTATGGAAGTGTAAACATTCCAGATACCTGCTCCCTGGCAGCACTGAACATGGGTTCCTGGATGTCGGTGTACATCCTCCGCAAGGCGTTGTAACCTCCTGGGATGCTTTCCAAGTTACTCAGAGCGCGGTCCTGGTTTCGCATCATTTCCTGCATCATCGCTGGGTTCCTGGCGAGCTCCATGGTCTGAGAGGGAAGATAAAGAAAGAGGAAGTGTGTTCGGGTTCATTTTAAATACACAAAGTCACCTTCTGAGGAAAGCACAAAAACAACCTCATCAGTTCTCTGTCTGTGTGCCCCTTCCTCCCTCTGGCTCAGGTTTACCTGTCGCATGAGCTCAGGATTATTCAGCATGTGGGAGATCTCGGGGTTGCGTTCCATCAGCTGTTGCATCTGTGGGTTGGCCACGATCATCTGTCGCATCAGGTCCGGGTTGGACATCATGTTCTGCACAAGTGGGTTCTCCATAATCTGGGACAGCATCTCTGGGTTGGACATGAGCTGTCTCTGCATCTGCTGCTGCAGCTCCATGAAGTTAGCCGAGCCCATGCCCAGACCAGCTAGACCAGCCAGATCCCCAAAGCCCGCTGAGGTAAGAGAAGCGGGTAAAGGATGGTTGAACGTATCATTTTCTGTCAATAAAAGGCTTTGGATGTTAATTAAATGCAGGCGGACTCACTCAGAAGGTTGGGCGTCTGTGTGGATGGTGGGGCAGAGCCAGAAGGGGCCGATGTAGAGGTGGGGTTGGCAGCTGGACTAGAGGTGGAACTACTGCCTGCCTGAGTGGAGGTTGAGCTAGAGGCTGAGGTGCTAGCGCCATCTGCTGCCCTAAAGAGAGGTTTAGAGGCCACACGAAAAGTCTGTGACTCTTCAAGCTGATGTTAATCAAAATTAAATACAGCAATGCATCAGTGTCACTACTAAATCACAGGAAGTTAACGGGATGTTCAGTTTCCTATCAAACAACAAACGTACTTGTGTGCCGTTTTTATGACGAGGTGAACTGTCAGGCCGTCTTTGATGCCGTGTTGGCTGAGGCTGTCTCCGTCTTTCAAAATCTTCCCAGCAAAAATCAGAACCAGCTGGTCCTGCTTGGCTTTGAACCGCTTGGAGATCTCCTCTTTAAACTGCAAACAAAAACAAGAGAAAGATGGCAGCTTAGAAAAGAGAACTCACCGCAGCCCGTTTAAACACAACAGTACAAACACAACTCCTGATCTGAAAGAAGCTTCTCAGAAAAACCACTTTGTGTCAGTTCATTCATGCAGTTTTCTCAAGGTGACGCCACAGAAGCGGACTAAGACATGGACTTTGACTGGGGCATTGCATCATCGAGACAACCTTCTTTATTTTTCAGTCAGTTTGTTGTAGATTTGCTGCTGAGTTTGGGTTCATTGTCCTGTTGCACAACCAGATCTAATCTAGCGAAGCAATACTCATCTGACACATGTATTGAATATCATAGCACACGGATTAATTTACTGTCAATTAAATCAATGCAAGAAGTCCAGATTCTCCACTAACACATTTAAAAATCAGGAATTTGTGCTGATAAGCCGCATGTAATCTTTGCAAACCCCAAGCCTGCATCTTGCTCCTCCTCTTGTCTGTCCTACAAACATCGTTTATCTGTGTGATGTGGCATACTCAGCTCATTATGAATGATGTTTTGGTATCATGTTATAATAATTTGCTTTTAATCAGATATGGCTAGATGTGTATTGGCTGTGATGGACTGCCCCTTGCTGACTGATGGCTGGGATAGGAACCAAACATCCCCTGTGACTGACGTGCGGGGTCAGAAAACACGTGAATGATGACATCAGTGATCAGACTGTATATTTATGTCCTCATATGTGAATGTAGCACTACGGTGCTTGTATTAGTATACACACTCATTTTAAACAATAAACAACATTTATCTGTAAGTGCATGCGTATAAACTTAGAGTTTATTGCTAAATGCAGAACATTATTTCTTAAAACACACAATAATGTAATTCACGTGCATTTAAAATGTCACCAACTCTTCCAAAGCAGGCTTCTAAAACCTCAATATCATCTCTCTGACCAAAGTCAAATATTTTCTTTACATAATTAAAATCACAGACAGTGAGCTCTTTTTTAGTTTATTGCCTAAATTAGTTGGCACGTGCAATTATTACATAATAACTATAGTTATTAATGTTTTTAAGCACAGAGACTATCCGATGGACTCATTGTACACGTCGCCAAGACAACAGTAGCACTGAGAATACCTGAAATCCCCAAGAAGCCTGAATGACTCAGTAGCAGCGATCAGAATGTTCTAGAATGAAAGCAACTTTTTACTTTTTTTTTTTTTTTTTTTTACAAACCGCTTAAGCAGAAATGAGAAATGAAAATGCGAGATGACCGCTACACGGTTCTGTTAGTTTCTGGTTAAAAAAAGCACAGAAAGTGCGTTTCCGTCAGCTGACACTTGTTTGGCTGTAGTTAGCTAGCCTGGTACGAATAGGATGCTAAATTAGCTCATGTGCTAACAGCTAACCGGTTAGCAATACCCACACCTATGTTCATTTAGCGGGGTTATATCTTTTCTAAAATAAAAGTTAACAACGTTAGCCTTTCTGATTACTTGTTAAAGTAAGCAATATTCCTCCACTTTCACTAAGCTCTTTTAAATTCAAGCACCTAGAGTTAGCCGGTAAGTGTGGTGACACATGCTAACGAGCTAGCTTCCAAGATGAAGTTGTGGGAATGACGTGAGAACGTCGATGAACAGCATCGACTAACCTGAGTGACGGAAGCATCTTCTGCGATGGCGATTTCTTCTTTGTCTTTAGGAGTTTTCACTGTGACCTTAATAATCGTTCCCTCTGAGTCTTCGGGCTTATTATTATTGTTGTTGTTACCAGGATCTGCGGCGCCTTGCTCAGCCATCTTTGCTCCGCCGATGGAACAGCTCGAGTCTAACGTTAACTTCCGGGTCAAAAGAGGTCAACTTTTTTTCTTCTTCTTCTCCTCTTCCCTCCAAGTTCCTGTTTGAGGCCAACACCTTAACAGCCAACAAAACACATTTCACTTAAGAAAAACGAATGTATTATTTTATTGTAGAGTCTTGAAGCTTACAAATAAATATCAGTCAGATGAAATCATAAACAACCTTTAAAACCATTATAATGTCTATTGTAATTATTTTCTAAACACAGTGTAGCAGACGACTAGTTTTTGACGTTTTTTTTTTTTTTTTTGCTGAAGGAGCACTGCCAATGTTGGTGGCGTTACTTCCTGCTTTGTTTATCTGTAACGCCACCAACATCGGCAGTGCACAGAGGAAGGCTACAGCGTTAGCCGAAACTTGTCAGCAAAAACAATGAAGAACAAATCTTTTACTTCGCTGTGTTTAGAAAATAATTAAACCAATAGAAGGATTACACAGAACAGACATACAAAAGACATTAAAATGTCTGCTGTAAACTTGGCCTGTTAACAAATTATTTCAATCTCAGAGGATCCTAATGTTGAACATTAAGCTAAGTGTCAAAAATCAAATTTAATTCCCTTTTCTTAATTAAACTAACCATTTTGGACAATATCGGAGAGACCTTCTCCTTCACTTATACCCCAATATATTAGAACTCATGAATGTATTTCCATATACTTCCAGCACATTTTAAACACGTCCAATTTCTTCTTTAAAATCTTAACTTGGACCCAGCAGTCCTTTCTAACTTCAGGCCTGTCTCTAAACACTGGCATTCTTGTCAATGGTTTTGGATAGAATTGTGTTTACTCAACTCTAATCTTTTCTACATGAAAACAGAATTGAGGAAAAATTTCAATATGGGTTTAAATCTAGACATGGCACTTAAGCTGCAGTGTTAAAAATCAACAACGATATTCTACTAGCTAGTGATAATAGAGACTGTGCTGCTGCTACTTTTAGATCTTACTGCAGCCTTTGATACTGTGGACATTGAAATCTTTTTGTCACCTTAGAGGAACTGGCTGGTATCCAGTGTAAATCACTAAGTTGTTTTAGATCCTACCACTGTTAACATCGGTGCATGCTCCTCTTCTGTAACTCCCCTTTACCGCGGTGTTCCCCAAGGGTCTGTTCTTGGTCCACTTTGGTTTTCCTTATGTATTGCCCCTGGGTTTTGTTATAAGGAAGTATAGTTTTTCTTTTCACTGCTATGCCGATGATATTCAGATATGCCTATCCCTGAAAGCACTGATAGGATCATTATTGCAGCCTCTGTTTGACTGTCTAAAAGATTTGCAGGAATTGCTAATGCAGAATTTTCTACACCTTAATGAAATCAAAACTGAATGCATGCTGTTTGGTGGACCTATATCTCAGTCTTGTTAAATCAGAGCCTTGGTCCTTTGGCACCACACTTAAAGTCTTTGGTGAAGGATTTGGGAGCTGTGTTTGATAATAATCTAGACTTAGACAAACTTGGTTGTGAAATCCAGTTTTTCCACTTTAGATTACTGAGTAAAGTCAAGCCCTTTCTTCCCTTTAACGACCTTGAGATAGCAATCCAGACTTGACTATTGTAATGCTCTCTATGCTGGATGAAATATGCCGTCTATGCCACGTCTTCAGGCGGTCCAAAAAGCTTTTGCTCAGCTGCTGACAAACAGAAGGAAATTTGAACATATCCCTCCTGTCTTGTCCTCTCTGCACTGGTTCCCAGTTCAATTGCAGATTGATTTTAAATGTTTATGTTTATGTATTTAGCAGATGCTTTGTCCAAAACGACTTATAGGTGATAATCAAGCCAGCAGGTTGCCCTTGAGGCTAACAACAAACACTATTTAGTCATTCCTAGGTGGTAGTGAGGCAGCATAATCAATCATAGAGGGAAGCGAGCATGGAGTGTGCAGCAGAGTGGGGGACAGGCTTTTGTTTTTAAATCATTAAACTGACTGGCACCATCCTATTTGACCAAACAAATCCACCTATACAAACCAGCAAGTGCCCCTTGTTGCCACCTTTAAACCCACGTTTCCCATGATTTCCATATAAAACGCTTGCTGTGTATCATCGTATTCCTTCAGTCTGGCGTAAATAAACGTTCATATTTTTCTGCGAGGCGTTCTTTAAAGAGGGACTGCACACCATCAGAAAATGTAACTCCGCCCCTAGTCAAGATTTGAAAAATGCCATGAAAGTGGGCGTTGTCAGGATGCACAGAGTGGCGTGGCCAAGTGTGGGGAATTTCCATCCTGGGAGGGAGGGGGAGTGGGAGGAGACTGTACCGATGACCTGAAATTGTACCAGCCCCAGCCAATCACAAGTTTAAAATGCAGTAGCTGCTGTTCTGCCACAGGGGGCAGCACTAAGACGTTTTTAGACCTAGATTCTAGATTTAATCAAGTTTACACAAACATGTCAACAATGCACAGAAACAGAAAGATTACATTTGTAAAGACCCAATTATACAGTTTATAAGCAAAAAAAAAGTTATTTGGCATTTCAGTTACTCTTTAATTTGCTCCGTGTCTTCTGTTAGATATCTTAAGCTTTTTTTTATTTTTATTTTTTGAGGGGGAATGGTGCTGTTGATTAATTTAAAGGATCCTGACCAATCACAAGCTAGTGGTCTCCTCCACTTTTATTGGACAGTTAAGAGTTTGGGCATGTCTCCATCAGTCTCGGTGGACTTGTCGGAGAGCCCTTACACCAGGGCATAATGGCACTGCGTGTCTCCATACCCACGCAGATGGAGAAGAAGGTTTAAGTCTCCCCATGAGTCAGAAATCTGTGGACTCAGTGGTCTTCTTTAAAAAGCAGCTGAAAACCCATCTGTTCAGGCTGGTTTTTGCGTGAACTCCTGTTGACTTGCTCTTGTTGGTTAGCTTCTTTTCCCTCTTGTGCCTGTTATTTCTGTCTCCCATGTTTTTTATTTTTATTTTTTAATTGTGCTTGTAAAGCACCTTGTGATTTTTATATTGAAAGGCGTTACAAATAAACTCTTCTTCTTCTTCTTCTTCTTCTTCTTCTTCTTCTTCTTCTTCTTCTTCTTCTTCTTCTTCTTCTTCTTCTTCTTCTTCTTCTTCTTCTTCTTCTTCTTCTTCTTCTTCTTCTTCTTCTTCTTCTTCTTCTTCTTCTTCTTCTTCTTCTTCTTCTTCTTCTTCCTTGGAAGGTTTACTAAAGCTCTGTATATGTGCAAATCATTTAGCATATCTTGCATTTACACATACAGTCAATGCTAGACACAACGTTAAAGGATGCAAGTGTATTTATTTGCTTTTTATGAATAAGGGTTTATTTTTAGACATGTGAGTATGACCACAGATGTTCAAGAAAAAAAATATTTTTCATCCATCTGTGTTTTCTGTACAGTCTTTGATAGTGAGAGAAATCTGGACGGACGTTTGAATGAATGGGTTTGCAGGATAATGAGAATTTGCAGTTTAGTCAAAGCTAAAGGGCATTCTGTGGGACAATTTCACTCAGATTTACTCACACTTCTGTTTATATGTATTACTTTAGTCCTTTTTCTATTTGTTTAGAGTTAAAACACTCGGGATTTGGACAGAAACAGGTATCACCTCTGTACTGTAGAGCACATCCTCTTTATGCGACGCCTCTGAAAGAGAAGTGTTTGTTTCAGCATGTTGCATTGACACACTTGTCCTGCATACCTATGCACATCCCCAGTTCTAGAGTACACTGATCACAAACAAACACAACTCCCCCCCCAAAAAGGTGCATGGACTGCGACGCTAACCCTTTTCTAACCCCCTGACACACACACACACACACACACACACACACACACACACACACACACCACTGACGGCAACAAAGAGTTCTGCTCCATCAACAAAAAAAGGCAAGGGGGCAACCTTTAGCTTGTATATTGTCCATGATCCTCCCCCCCTCCCCACCTAAAGTGAGCAGCGGTCCTCTCTGTGTTTTAATCTTCACCTCTGGAACGTGTGCAGCAGAGTCGGTGTGTTTCCAGAAACAAGGTAAGTGTTGTTTTGGGGTGTTTTCTACACCGTTATGAGACGGAGCGAGCACTGGTGAGGGTCTGGAGGGGGAATTCCTGCCAACTGTAGCAGCACAGAAATACATTTTCATCAGGTTTGACGTGGACGTGTTCAGCTGATAGCGATGTCTCCAGTGAAGAAGAGGTAATCCGATTGTTTAAAATGCAGTAGAAGCTGCTGCTCCTAACGTTTGAAGTATTCACTTATACTTGTGATCAGTTTTAACAGTTTTTTATGGTTTTGCTGATCGAATGGTATTTTATTGGTTTTCAATAGGGATACTCGATTGGCTTTTTCTGATATATCGATATTTACTGACTTTTGGGCAGCAGTAGCTCAACAGGTTGAGCGGGTTGTCCAGTAATCGGAAGGTTGCAGGTTCGATCCCGGCTCCGGACAGAGAATTCTGCTGTTGTGTCCTTGGGCAAGACACTTAACCCACATTACCTACTGATGGTGGTTGGAGGGACCGGTCGCGCCAGTGCTCGGTAGCCTCGCCTCTGTCAGTGCGCCCCAGGGCAGCTGTGGCTACATCGTAGCTCATCACCATCAGAGTGTGAATGGATGAATGATACACTGTAGTGTAAAGCGCTTTGGAGTCCTTACTCTGAGAGGCGCTATACAAGTGCGGGTCATTTATCATTTTAATTTCCGATAACACCATAAACCGATGTTGATAGAGAGAAGAAAAGTAGCTGAAGAGTTTGATGTATAATATGTGTATGGTATGTAAAAGATTAAAAATCAATACCGATATTTACGATATTCAATTCCAATGACAATATCGACCGTTATTAATGGTAAACCGATAAAATCGGACATCCCTAGTTTTCAACATTTCTAAGGTAAAAAAAGGCTGTTTACTAATATTAAACTTTTTTTTTTTCAAATTTTAACCCTCCCACTGTCCTAATGGGTGTGACCCCACGAGGAAAGTTGACCATTGAGCAGGATTGATGGTTTATCCCTTGGGTCCACGTGGCAGGGGTGAGGAGTGAACACCACCTCACCCCTGCCACATGGACCTCGAGGGATAAACCATCAGTCCTGCTCAATGGTCAACTTTCCTCACGAGGTCACCCATAAAGACTTTGGGACGGTTATGGAAGAATCAATTGAAACTTACCAAAAATGTTATAAGTGCTGTATCTACCGTTGAGATCAATGGGAACATTTTGCTTCTGGAATCTCTACAGTTGCTCTGCAGCAGCCCCGTTGCCTCAGCTCAAGATGTATAGCTTCATGGGAGGGGGCCTGTTCTGTGCCATCGTGGGTAACATCCTGTTGGTGGTCTCCACTGCAACCGACTACTGGATGCAGTATCGGCTGTCTGGGAACTACGCCCACCAGGGTCTCTGGAGGTACTGCATGTCCAACAAGTGCTACATGCAGACCGACAGCATAGGTGAGACAACCAGGGGCTCTTTGATTGTGAGACACTGAGAATTTGGATTATTTGAAGAGCTTTGCGTAGAATTTCTTTGCGCAAAATCTTACACTTTTTAGCCCTTTGTTTGTCGTTTGTTGATTTCTACATTTTGTTTTTCTTTAAGCTTATTGGAACGCCACCAGAGCCTTCATGATCCTATCTGGGATGTCGTGCTTCGCAGGCATCATTGCAGGCATCATGTCCTTTTCCCACTTCTCCTCCTTTGAACGGTTCAACCGCTCCTTCGCTGCAGGAATCATGTTTTTTGTCTCTAGTGAGTTTTCTGTTATTTGACCTCATCATAATTAAGTAAATTTCCGTTCTGCACTAGTCTGACAAGCCATCCTATATATGCCATTTTGTTTTGGCTACTGTCTTTGTAGATTTCTAGGCTAATTGTGCACTATCTTTGAATTGAAAATCAAGTAAAAAAGCAAAACTTTTAGAATAAATATCATGTAACAAAAAGCAAAAATATTTATTGTGCCGAGATGAGTGAATAATGCCACAACGTGACACAAATATGGATCCGTTTGTCAGCTTTCTTTGTTCTGCTGGCCATGGCCATCTACACCGGAGTGACAATCAACTTCCTGGGAAAGCGTTTTGGGGATTGGCGTTTCTCCTGGTCATACATACTGGGCTGGGTGGCCATGCTCATGACATTCTTCGCAGGTGAGAAACTGAAAATGTCACATTTTATTTTCTCAGATCCAGAACCTTTTCTTTACACTTTAAATCTTTTGGCCTTGACCGAGTACGGGGGGTGGGGCTTCAAACTACAGCAGGGAAATACACAAGACCACACCGACTTGAACGCTGTATCAGGGCTAGAAAGTTGCTACTGAAAAACCTTCTAAATCTTTTGGCCTGAAAAATAAAAGTAAATAAAAGAGCAAGTGAAAACCTGAAACTAATTTCTTTTATAGGAACTTTTCTGATAGTGAAACTCAAAAGAAGCTACCTTCAGACTCTTTTCATGCCTTTTAACAACGTTCTAACACAGTAGCTATAAATATGTTGTGGAGATTTTAATAAACGCTAAAAAAAATTAAGTGTGTGGATCTCTCGCATTTGTCTAAAGACCTCAGTCAAAAACACAACTTGGTCTGGAACCAACGATTGGACCATCAGGATGCCTGCCTCACCGAACCGCTGCACTTTCCTGGGTCCTTCATGCATTACGCACTTACATTTTTCACAACAGAACACCACTGGTGTGAGGGGTTCTCCGCTCAGTCAGAGGAGAAACAGCTGGCCGCTACCACTTCAGCTTTAGGACGAACTGCCAGAGTCCCAAAAAGAAAAACAACATTTGAAGTCACAGACAACAAACAACGTTTGGACGTAGAAAACTGTGACTGGAGGTTAGCGAGCTCTAGTTTACTGTGGCAATGTGCGTTCCTGTATCAGGCATACGTGGCCCAGGGATGGTAGCTGAGGGCATGGGTGGGTGTTCTGTGTCCGTGTTTGCCTTTAAAGGTGTGGAACACTAGAAAACCTTTTTTATAAATCTTGTTTCTGATTATAATCGGTCACTCTGAGTGTTTCATGCAGGCAGAACAGGAAAACAGTCTCCTACACCTCTCTTCACTGCATTAGACAGTGAAACTCCAGGATTAGAAAAGTCACTTAACTCATTCACAGCCAAAGCCGTCATTTGCATTTTTTTTACTGTGTGGGCGTCGGACGAGCCCCCGCACCGTGAGAACAAACATCTCAGCTCTAAAGCTGATCTTCATCCACATACGTCACACGCCACGTGATCAGGAAGCAGAACATCCATGTGTTAGGAGATCGTTTTGGGCCGCTGCTGTAAAAAAAGTGAGGCGTGAACCGGAAAAGCTTCTGCTGATCACAATTCAACAACAGATTGTGAAAGAACGGATAACGCTCGAAACGCGCGGATTCTTCCTGATGTTAGAGGTGAGTCTCCGCTTTGTTTTGGTTGTTTTGGCGTCGACATCATCCTAGCGCCCAACGTTCTGTCACTCTTAAAAAACAGTAAAAATGGTGAGAAACGCTGGCAGTGAAGGGCTTTACCGATCAGGCTGGCATCAAATGAGTTAACATTCATGGACTCACCCATCTTGACCTCCCACAGGGAAGGCTGTTGTTGGTTTAGTGTCCAGGAAAGAGCAGAGAACGTCTCAGGTAGTATTAAGCTAATTGTTAGCATTAGCAACTCCACCACACAGCAGAATTGCTCTAAGCTCATGTTATTTGCAGGCATAAAACATCAAAGTTGCAAGTCAGGGTTAGAGTCGCGTTATTGTTATCCAGTCCAAGGCGAGATGTTCAAATATCAGGAAATAAGACTCCAAATCCAGCCTTCTGAAGCTCAGCTGTGATGTGGCTCACTTCTAGTTCCTGAAAATAGTGCACCGGTGTTTTTCTTCCCCAGAGTACAACTTACAAAGCATTAAGTCCTACTAGAGACCCCTGAAAATGTATTGACTAGAAGAGTGTTCAACACCTTTAAAAACGTGCTTGTTTTGCAGATTTGCTGTTGCAGCTTTAATTCTGGTCAATTACATTCAGTTTATTTATAAAGCGCCAAATCACGACCAGAGGCACTTCACAAAGTAAACATTCCAGTACAGCTCAGTTCATCAAGCCAAACAATAAAGTTTCCTACATAAGGAACCCAGCAGATATCCTCTAAAGATTACAAATTACAAATATTGTTTTCTTACTTACTAATATTTTAAACAATTACGCCCCTGATATACCTCCATACATGTAGGCCAACTCAGACATTACTTTGGTGCCATTGAATCAAAAATACTTTGAAGTTATGATGCACATTCTCAAAAAACTCATTTACATTTGTTTATGTCTGAAGTGACCTCTTGTCTTTGTCGCAGGTATTTTCTACATATGTGCCTACAGGATGTGCGAATGCCGGAGAGGAAACGGACCTCGCTAAAAGACTACAGAAGGCTTTTGATTTGAAAGAATAATCAGAAAGCATCGTCGCGTCGAGCTGATGAAGAGGAGACACCCGATTCTGGAGGTCACCAATGAAACTGGAACGTTTTCTGAGAATATTTAGGATTTAAAAAATATATATATAAACTTAATCATGTTACTAATGATTTAAAGTATTGATTATACCTCACACACACACACACACACACACACACACACACACACACACACACACACACACCTCTGCCTTGTTTGTTGTTGATTATTCGGGATTTTTTAAATTGAAACTCACCCTCTGTGGTGTCATTTACACTGCTGAGTTTCACCAGTAGGTGGCAGCACTCGAACAGTTTGGCACATCCAGGTGAACTGAAATTTAATATGGATTAAAATATGGATTTAAATAATAAAAATGTCGTAAAAACAGATTTTGAGTCAGTTGATCTCATAAAAATGTCTACTTCTACTCCAGAGGGGGTTATTAACAAAATAATTCATTTCAATTCTCTGTTCTGAGGAAAATGCAGAAAACATATTTAAAAATGTATGTTTCATGTTTGTTTAATTTAGAGTTGAAGTTTTTTCTGTGGCTAAAATATTTTCATCATATTCTGCTTCTACTACCAAACTACGGAGCAGAACCTGAGGAGAAGATCACATTCCTGAGGGTCTGGGGCGGAGGGCTCCGGTCTCTGATTGTTCCTCCGAGTTAGACCTAAAATCCCGTTTCCTCTTCCGCTCCTCATCAGCTGGGAGAAAGGAGTGCCGTTGCTGAAGTAATGAATGCTTTGGCTGCTGATGCAGAAACAATGACAGAAAGGAAAACAGCCTGCGGACGGCCTCCTTGATCCAAGTTTCCGTACTCGGCCTCTGGGACCAAATTAGATTTTCCTCCTTTTTCGTTGTTTTGTTGTTTTAACTCTTTTATTAGACTTTTAAAATATTCTGTTGATATCAAGTGTTTTTAGCAAAGACACATTTCTTAATCTTTATTGCAGATTGTAGTCTTTATGAAGGGGTTTGTGGGCTTTTTTAAGTGAGTTTTAAAAGGTGATCTAATTTTAAAATCGCACCCTTTATCAGTAGGTCTTTGAACAGCCTCAGTTAGGTGAAGCTGAGATTAGTTCCGACTTTACCAAAGAGCTAACAGGCACTCCTGGTGGAGCAAAGTGTGCCTGCCTTCTTAAAAGTGTGGACCACTGAAAACCCGTTTTTAATGATTAGTCCTGATTATAATCAGTCACTCTGAGTTTTTCATGCACGCTGAACACGAAAATAGTCTCCTACACCTGTCTCCTGCAGCAGCTTCTGATAGAAAACAGACGGTGAAACTCTAGGATTAGAAAATTCTGACAGATCTACATCACACTGTCACTTAACATTCATGGACTCACTCTTGACTCACGACGGGGAAGGCTGTTGTTGCTTTAGCGTCAGGTAACAGCAGAGAACGCCTCCGCTAGTAGAAGCTAACCATTAGCATTAGCATCTACACCATATGGCAAGAAGCTCCTTCAGGCTTGTGTTGTTTGTGGAGATAAAACATCAATGTTTCAAGTCAGTGGTAGAGTCTTGTTGCGGTTAGCCAATCAGAGATGTCCAAATATCAGGTAATAAGACTCCAGAACCTGGCGTTTGAAGCTCAGCTCTGACGTGGCTCACTTCTACTTCCTGATTCCTGAAAATGGTGCACCAGAGCTTTGTTTCCCCAGAGTACGACTTACAAGGCATTCGTTCCTACTGGAGAACAATGCAAATGTATTGATTTAAAAAGTCCTTCACACCTTTAACGAATATTCGTTATATTGTTGGTTTAAAATAAAAAGATCATACATATATGAAATACAATCAAATGTTCAAGCCAGAACATTTGGAAAAAACTGTGTAGTACTTGTAGTACTATTACTACTACGACGACAATAATATGTGCATAAAAACATGTTTCAAGTGAAATCTTGAATAAAAATCTTGTGCTTAAGCACCAGATATTTTTGAGATCAAATACATATTTTACAGCTAATGTTATGATATTAAAGAACAGATGAAGCAAACATGTATTTAAAAGTAATCTGAGTCATGTTCTATAACACCAGAATGATCTGTTTTTACATCCAGATCTTTAGAAACATGATTAAACGCGTCAATGAGCTTTATCGGCTGCGATTTGTATTTAACCAGAATCTGTTAGGCATCCCTTCGCCGTGTTAGCACAGTGACTGCCGGCCAGAGTTTGTTTGCAGACGACGAACGCTGAGGCTGCAGGACCTTTTATAACCAGGCGCCATTCCTGATCCTCATGGACCCGCTCCTCCCGCTGCTGCTGCTGCTGCTCAAACACCGAGCCACCGGGAAAACGACTTCTCCAGCTTTGTTTTGGAAAGACTTTATTGAGAAAGTGAACACTTATCTGGTGATGAGTTTAGTGCACACGGTACAAGAGATATGAGTGATTCAGGAACATTGCACTGGACAACAAAGAAAAATAAAAGTACATTTACAAATCTTTTTATAAATAAAGCTAGCACAACAAGTGGTTTGTGACACTAAATATACAACTTTTTGCTGACAAAGTTTTTGGAAGATGTTGATATTTTTGGGACTGGGAGTAAAACTGAAAGAAAATCAATAACAATTAATATTATTAATCCTGAAATAGAAAATAATTGTATCTGGTTTGTCTGGAACAGTTATAAGACTTGATGTTTACACCTCATAATGTCATTTATTGGACAACAAAAATTCATCCAACCTCCAGACTGTAACCTTTGGATCGCTAACGCTGAGTCATGATTAATAATATGTGAAACAGGTCTGTTTTTATGGAAGCACAGGACAACCAGGCATGTGTAGCTGATTCTGATTCTCAAACTGAAAACAAAGGTCCGGAACAACGCGAGCTACGATAATCCCAGGCTTCTGCACATTGCTTGCTCATCCAGGTATTTCTCCGTTGGGCCTTCCTGCCCGTTCACGCCTGAAGGGACTGAGGGAAACATCCTGGAGATCACAAGACATGAAAGGAGAGAAAGGACATTTCCTTTTGAAGTCAAAGCCAAAGCGGGCTGGGCCGTAATCTAAAACACGCTGGGCTTCGCTTTCTGTGTTGGACTAAAAAAAAGGTAGGTGTTGAATCCAAAGGTGAAGGCTCCTTAAACTGGAACGTCTTCAGCTCAAAGTGTAACAGCGGTGACATTAAGACGAATGCTTCAGATGAATGTGTGGAAACTCCCAGAGCAGAGGAAAATGGTTACCATTGTGTCGTTGTAGCTCTAAGGTCATCTACGGTATATCATCGGGTTTCATCGTCCGGCTGGGTGTGTCTCTATCAAAGGGACTCGTGTCTGGTAATCTACCTCTCGGATTTCCACTCCTCCGAGACACCCCTCTCGGAACGTGTCCCTTGGAATCATTTCGATTTAGAGCTAAAAAAAAAAGAACAAAAGGAACTGGACCAAGGTTCTCCTTGCGTAATCAAAACTTTCCATTGGATAGTTTTGAGAGGGCTCTGGGATGTGTGGTCTTTGGAGCAGAATGTACCTGAGGTGCCTGATTGCAAGGCAAAGTCTTTTTTGGTGCCATGAACATGAGGTTAAAGAGAAAGTTGCAAAGGTTGTCGAGATTGGAAAAGTCCCAGAGTGTTTGATGTGGTGGCCGTTCCGGTCAGCGCGCTGGCAAGAACTGTCAATGTGTGGTTTTCCTTTGCACCACCTCTGCCGTGTCTTTAAATGTGTCTGCGGCGATGGTGGTGGTGGTTGTGCATGTCCTCCATTGTGATTCTGCCCCACACGCCGATCACAAAGGCTTCGATCTCGCACTCGTTGTCGCCACGAGCGATGCGGAAGTAGCCGTTCTCTCCCCAGTTCTTCCCCCAGGAGTTGGCAGCAATCTGGGAATAAATTGAAAGCTTGAGTAAAAGTTTGCAGCGTTGGGTTCTTAAAAAGTGAAATTTCAAGCTTTGCGTTGTAAATCCCAAAGCTGCTGTGGCAAATACGCAAAACAAGCTAGCTTTCAAACGCAAACAAAGTCACGGAACCCTCCCGTTGGCTATCATCCCCAGGCCACGCCCACCTGATACCAGAAACTGCATTTCTAAAGTAAACAGGGCTGCGCTAAACACCGGGAGGTTTTGAGACAAATGCGAGAGAACCACGTCATTGTGTTTTTGTTATCCCCACAAAATATTTATAACTATACTGTGTTGTTGCTTTAAGAGGCATGAAGTAAAGCTAGTTTGTTTAGCAGATGTGCCATTGTAGCTATAACTAGGGATGCATAACGTATCTGCATAAACGTCTGAATCGGACGATGTTTCTCTAACAAATCATATTGGATGATAAGAAAAATAACCAATGTTCATTTCCATCTTTGCATTTATGTTACAGAAGGGGGAGCGGGTTGGCCTTGTGGTATTTGTTTGGCCATGTGATTGACATCAGATATTGGTTATCGACAGCGGAACTGACATTGGATATCGTTATCAGCCATTTGTACATTTCTAATCTTGACCACAAACCCCCTAAATATATAACCTCACACAGTTTCTAATGTGTAAGACCTCTACCTCAGTAACAGGATTAGTACGTTCCCCTAGGAAATTCTATACAGGCCTCCTGCTTTCTGGTGGAGGATCAAAGTACAGGTGGCAAGGGCCAATTTTATCATGATTATTGCTATATCATCAGAATATTCATGATAAAATATGTATTTATTAGAAAAAAGTAGGGTTTATTTGTGTCATGGGAAAAATACATACCCAAAATTTTCTTGGTGTTCCATTGAAATCTCTGTCTTCTCCCCACCTGTGCAAAAGGCAAAAATCATATAAAATCAAAAGGAGAACACACTGAAACTATATCAGTAAAAAAGACCACGTTCCTTCAAATGAAACAATTATCCGGAACAGCTTGGCATTGCTGTCAAACAACCACAGTTCAAATGCAAAAAAATTGCTTTCATCGTGCCGGAAACATCCTAAAGTCCAAGAGTCTACCACTGTTTTCGCACTCCCACCCAATCCCAATCCAAAGAAGCTGGCATTCCCCTTATCTGAAGCATTTCCACCCTCCTGACGTGCAGCAGGAAGGAGAGGATAAGCCATAGGGAAGTGAGCATCAGTTGGGTCCACCAACACCAACAACACGGGACAAAAAACTTCAACAAACACAAACACAGAACATGACCCTTAGCTTTGCTCATCTTGCTTGCCAGAAGCTTTGTTTTCCAGAAACCTTGGAAGAGTCCCAGAAATTCCCGTCATGGAACTCACTTTGGTTTTAGCGTAGCCGCTGCCAGCCCCTGCTGTCTCTCCCCGTCAGAGTCAAAACATTCTCCCAAAGCCAATTCCCATCCTGTTTTTGCACTCCAAGTATTTGATTTCCCAAGAGACTCCCAATGTTCTATCCCCTGTTATCTTTTTATAAGTGAAAGGAATGCTGGGAAATAAACTAGGCGGTCCTGGTTAGTCGCTCATCACCAGAGCACAGAAAACGTCACCAAACCTCATCACAGACTGAGGTTACCAGCCAAAAATCAAAAATAGCTTTATAGTCTGAAAATGTGTGTGTGTGTGTGTGTGTGTGTGTGTGTGTGTGTGTGTGTGTGTGTGTGTGTGTGTGTGTGTGTGTGTGTGTGTGTGTGTGTGTGTGTGTGTGTGTGTGTGTGGGTGGTGGGGGGTTAGGATGCCTTTTCATTGATTTAGATCCAGACCAGTGTTGATTTCTTATTATGGGCCTTCTTAGGGTTCTACAACCCCCCAAGGCGCTCCACAACACAATAAGTCATTCACCCATTCACACACTGGTGATGAGCTACATTGTAGCCACAGCTACCCTGGGGCGTGCTGACAGAGGCGAGGCCTGCCTCCGACCACCACCAGCAGGGTTAAGTGCCTTGCCCAAGGGAAACAACAGCATTTTCTGGTCGGAGCTGGGATCGGACCAGCATCCTTCCAGTTACTGGACAACTACTACAATGTAGCTCATCATCAGCAGGGTTTGAATGTGTGTGTGAATGGGTGAATGAGTGATGTGTTGTAAAGCACCTTGGGGGGTTCCAGGTATCTCTAATACATCTGTTTTAATGGAGCGTTGCTCTAGACCTCCATCCTTAAGGTAAAACTCCGCCCATAGTGGGTGGCTGGGATCAGACTTAAAAATCTAACCTTATGAAGGTCACCAAGACTGTCAAAGGGGATCCCAGCGATTTTACTGCGTTCCTAACCTGCTCCGGTTCCCTTCCCGGGGAACCGAGGTTTGGAGAATCCCCGTGGTGCCCACTCAAAAGCTGCACCATGACTATACTGAATAAACTCCCCTTGATGTACGGTACTGTCATGTGACTGTCAACAGGAAAATAAACACAGGTGAGTCTTCATCATGTCACTATTCCCAGTTCAGTGAATCACTTTGGCATTCTGGATGAAATGGGATTTCACACACGGAAAACTGTTCTTATAAAATGGGGTGAAAGCCAACTAACTAAAGGATGCTCAGTACGCACACACACACACTTCTGGTGCTGCATAACACCATGACCGGCGCCACGCCCACACACAAATTCCCCAATGCCTCTTCATCCCCATGCTACCTCTTTTATGGGTGATTGATCCCTCTTTCTCAGTCCAGTGCTGCGAGGATCAGCATCCCAGACGAGCCTCTTTCCACCACAGTGGACCCCAATGCTCTCTTCACAAACTTTCCCAGGCCGCGGGCTTAAAGAAACGCACAGCTACGGGATTTGGTTTGTGTAAACACACTGATGCCTGTGGCAGGTTGGAGCGCAAAAGGCCGTGCCCTCTGGCAGCTCCTCTGTGTAAACGTTTGTCGCCGCTACATCCACTCACCGGGAGCAGCGAGGAACAACAGAGCCACTGGCAGAACGTTATTAAACATGCATTGTTTTTGTTAGATATTTTTCAGGTGATAAAATCATGTGAATAAATTCCAAAAGTCCAGTTTTTTGGACTTAGATGGCACATTTTCCCACCCAGCAAAAACCGTCTGTTTCCTGGGTCTCCATGGTGATGCCCGCCACTCATGGCACCTCGTAAGTTTAAAAGACAGTCGTAGCTCCTAACCTACAAGAGGTAGCTGGTTTATGTAAGAACATATACGTTATTTGTAGTGATCCAACAAACATTGGTCCGACGCCAACGTGGTGTCCACCTCCAAAAATGGTCGCGGTAGGACGGCCCCAATTTGTAAAAACATAAATAAATGAATAAATAAATAAATAACAGGACATATCTTAAAAATCCATTCAGATACACGTGTACATGCCTACAGTTATACGTATAATTGTTATTTTGACAATTAGTTACATGTAGTTCAACATAGCATCCCAGCAAATATTGGTCCGACGGCAACGTCGTGTCCACGGCCAAAAATAGTCACGGTAGGACCCTACAAAACGTTTGTCCGGCGGCGACGTGGTGTCCACGGTCAAAAATGGTCACGGTAGGACCCTATAAAACGTTTGTCCGGCGGCGACGTGGTGTCCACGGTCAAAAATGGTCACGGTAGGACCCTACAAAACGTTTGTCCGGCAGCGACGTGGTGTCCACGGTCAAAAATGGTCGCGGTAGGATGGTCCAAATTTTTAAAATATTTTAACACATTTCCTAAAAATCCACTCAGATTTGTAGTTACATGTATAATTGTTAATTCACATCCAAAAACGACGTCGGTTCAACTTTCATTTTGGAACAATTTTTCAACCATGACCGGACGTTGATTAAATGTCCGAATGTTTGCTGGGGATCTGCTCCTCCATTGAACTGGTAGCTATGGCAACACGATAGCGATTTTAGCAGCACACAACTTTTCTTAGGTTTCTTTAAAAGCTCTCTTGTACTCGTTTTTTCTTTTTAAAAATCTGCCGTTGTTTCTAGAACGAACAAACGCCTTGTTAGTCGTTCTTTGTAGAAAAAAAACGCTCTGATGCTCCTGTTTCAAGAAGTAGAAGATAACCGGCAGATTTGGAGTATTACTCAGAATCAGAATCAGATCTGAATCAGAAGGGTTTTATTGCCATATGTGGAAGAAATCGCAACAGTAGGAAATAGCTTATTGGTCATGATAAGGGCAGCAGCTCAACAGGTTGAGGGGGTTGTCCAGTAATCGGAAGGTTGCAGGTTCGATCCCGGCTCCGGACAGAGAATTCTGCTGTTGTGTCCTTGGGCAAGACATTTAATCCACTTTGCCTGCTGGTGGTGGTCGGAGGGACCGGCGGCACCTGTGCTCGGTAGCCTCGCCTCTGTCAGTGCGCCCCAGGGCAGCTGTGGCTACATCGTAGCTCATCACCATCATTGTGTGAATGGGTGTAGTGTAAAGCGCTTTGGAGTCTTTACTCTGAGAGGTGCTATACAAGAGCGGGTCATTTATCATTTATGATATGCAAACATGTCACCTCGGATTAGCTAACAGCAATGCGACACTTCCACTACTTTTGTATTTGTTTGATTCTTGGGTAAGAACTGACACAAATAAGCCTGAACATGTTCTGCCATGCTGTAGGGTTGCTAACGCTAATGGTTAGCATCTACTAGCAGAGACGCGCTGTGCTCTATCCTAACTGCTAAATCAGCACAGTCTTCTGTGGTGAAAAGGTAAGTGGGTGAGTCAGTGAATGAAAAATTTACAGTGTGACGTCGATCTGTGTGGCCTTTGATGAAGCAAACATTCTCCATCTATTTTCTTTTGGCAGCAAATGCAGACGATGGGGTAGAAGACCATTTTCATTATTCAGCATGCACGTGAAACTCAGTTACCTATCATGTTACAAAAAGGACAAGTATTATGCGTTTCTCAGGCAATCTCTGTTTTAAAGTAACACTTTTTTTTACTTTAAGCTAAAGCTTTAACGTTAATTTCAGTTATTGTTGAGTTTGAAACTTGTCCAGGACCATATTTGACACCACTCTGCAGCCCTCTGCTGGCCAGATGCTGCACTCAACAGTTTTGTGGAGCAGGTAAGTGCTCTGTAGTAGGAGCTCTTTACCTGCTTTATAGCTGTTAGCTGTTATGCTAGCAGTTAGCTTTTTCAGTTTGCCAAGCTAGCTACAGCAGGCTGCTGCAGGGTTGTTTATTACAGTTGTAATTCCACTTTCAACCAGTGGGGTAGCGAAGCAGGAAACTGCTCACTGTTGCTTCAAAATGAAAATAAGGACTCATAGCAAAACATGTAGAGTGAACGACCAGTCGTAGAAAAGAACCACAAAATAACAGCCAATCAGCCAACTGGGTGAAAAAAATATCTTTGTTGATTGAGACAAACTTCTAACAACCATATCGACCCAGCAGCCTTTTAAAACAAAGTGTGTGGTAAAAAGTCATCCATTACACATTTTTCACAATGCATCGTGTGATTTTGAGTCTCTGTGGGAGATTATTTGGTCCTTAAGTGTTCGTCAATGAAAGAAACAGCGAGCTGTGTGTGTTTTTGCAGCCCAGAGTCTTGCACATGTGAAAATTAGCAACCAGGTGTTGTGCTAACATTCTTGTCTATCAGAGCTGGAACCAATAAATACCTGCAACCATTTGAGGAGGGAGTGGATGCTGCAAACCCTCCTGTTGCAGATGTTAGAGGTTGTTTGTGAAGGAACTTGCTCTTCTGTTCTCGTCAAACAAACTTGGTGACACTACAGAGGCTTAAATTAGAGCCAATTCTTAATTTCCAAACAAGTTAGCAAAGGGGGCTTTTTTCAACTAAATGCAGATGTCTACTGATGATGTTTCATGATCGGGAGCCACTAAATAGAAAAAACAAAACCTGTTTGCCATTATGAGTTTATTTGGTTCACAAGGAAAATAAATATGTAACTCTGCCCTAAAGAGTTGAGTTTTGGAAGATTTAAAGCGGTAAACAAGCTAGGTCTTGATCACGGAACGCACACTTCTTCCCGCGGGTATCGTCCCTGAGATCCTTCTGCCGGAACCGGAGACCCGCGATGCTGGACGAAACAACATGGTGCTAAACACCAGTCACTGTTGTCTAGGTTCAAACCAAGGTTTGAATTACGGGGGAGCTAAGGGGGGCCCGGCTCACCTGAACCCGGGGGAGCCCGAAAACAGATCTTGTTCTACAGATATTAAATTATTCAAAGCTGATGCAAACAGCGCTCTGCCAACACACACTATGTTGGAACGCTGTCGTAAAGGTCGTATTTAAAAAAGGCAAATATCATATCTTCTAAATCTGACAGTAAAAGGGAGACCTCACAAACTTTGCTAGGTCAGAACCCCTCTCGGCCATTCGGTGTCTCCAGACGCATCAAACGACTACCTGTCTGTCTGGGGATTGTCTAAATGATAACGACTTAAATCTGAAGAGGAGAAAAAGAGAGGAAGCTGGACTGTCTCCGAGGCAGACAGACGAAGAAGAGAGGGAGAGGTGATGAAGACACAACAAGGGAGGAGATGAGACGAGGGGGAGCAACGGGCGGGGGTGGAAGAGTCCAGGTGTGTCGGCTGTCTACCTGCCTGCATAGTTGTGGTCAACGCAGTAACTGGATGGGGGGTTGGGGGGGTGGGGGTGGGAACGCTGTCTGGGACAGATCAGGGAGTGGAGCCAAGGTGTGTCTCTGAGTCTGGTGGGAGGCTTATTCACTAGTACACTTTGGCTTTTGTGCAAACACACGTGTGAGTGGAGATTTGTGTCCAACCCAACATCAGCAGCAACTCACTGAAGGCCGCATTCCTCTTTTATAAACACTTTTTCTTTCCTGCTGATTGAGTTGAGAATATGACAGCAGACTCGACGCAGCGTTCTCCAAAGATGAGGAATGCTGTGACTATCGCCGACGTCTTCCTGTTGGTAACTCGGAACGTTTTCACGCATTTGAGAAAGAAAATTCAGTCAGAAAACGCTGTGTGTGTGTGTGTGTGTGTGTGTGTGTGTGTGTGTGTGTGTGTGTGTGTGCGTGTGTGCGTGTGTGCGTGTGCGCGTGTGCGCGTGTGCGCGTGTGTGCGTGTTGGAGCTACACTTATACCAGCGATATGAAACAAAGCTTAGAAAAGGTCTGACCTTCTAGCAGGAACTTACCCAATGATCCTGACAGAGTGTGTGCCATGTTTGCGGTATTGTGGCGGCTTGGCGAAGCTGACATCAGTGTGTTTGTAGATCCCACTTCTGTAGACAAAGAAGTCCTCATGGACCTCCATGATGGCTGTGAGGAGGAACAAGTGGGGAGAGGAGAGTTAGTCAGAACGTTCCCGGATCTACTGTTAGGAGGCAGAAATAAATCTGATCTAAGGCTCGACTTGTCTGACAGCAATTAAGGAATTTTATCTCTCTCTCTCTCTCCCTCCATCTATCTGTCTCTCTCTCCCTCCCTCCAACTATCTGTCTCTCTCTCCCTCCAACTATCTGTCTCTCTCTCCCTCCAACTATCTGTCTCTCTCTCCCTCCATCTCTCTCTCTCTCCCTCCATCTATCTGTCTCTCTCTCTCCCTCTCTCTCTCTCTCTCCCTCCAACTATCTGTCTCTCTCTCTCCCTCCAACTATCTGTCTCTCTCTCTCTCTCCCTCCAACTATCTGTCTCTCTCTCTCTCTCCCTCCAACTATCTGTCTCTCTCTCCCTCCATCTATCTGTCTCTCTCCCTCCATCTATCTGTCTCTCTCCCTCCATCTATCTGTCTCTCTCCCTCCAACTATCTGTCTCCCTCTCTCCCTCCAACTATCTCTCTCTCTCTCTCCCTCCATCTATCTGTCTCTCTCTCTCCCTCTCTCTCTCTCTCCCTCCATCTATCTGTCTCTCTCTCTCCCTCTCTCTCTCTCTCCCTCCATCTATCTGTCTCTCTCTCTCTCTCTCTCTCCCTCCATCTCTCTCTCTCCCTCCATCTCTCTCCCTCCAACTATCTGTGTCTCTCTCTCTCTCTCCCTCCATCTATCTTTGTCTCTCTCCCTCCATCTATCTGTCTCTCTCCCTCCATCTATCTGTCTCTCTCCCTCCAACTATCTGTCTCTCTCCCTCCAACTATCTGTCTCCCTCTCTCCCTCCAACTATCTGTCTCTCTCTCTCCCTCCAACTATCTGTCTCCCTCTCTCCCTCCATCTATCTGTCTCTCTCTCTCCCTCTCTCTCTCTCTCTCCCTCCATCTATCTGTCTCTCTCTCTCTCTCTCTCTCCCTCCATCTCTCTCTCCCTCTCTCCCTCCATCTCTCTCTCTCTCTCCCTCCCTCTCTGTCTTTGTATCTCCCTCTTTCTCTCTCTCCCTCCATCCATCTGTCTCTCTCTCTCTCTCTCCCTCCAACTATCTGTCTCTCTCTCTCTCTCTCCCTCCCTCCATCTATCCGTCTCTCTCTCTCCCTCCATCTATCTGTCTCTCTCTCTCCTTCTCTCTCTCTCTCTCCCTCCCTCTCTGTCTTTGTATCTCCCTCTTTCTCTCTCTCTCCCTCCATCTATCTGTCTCTCTCTCCCTCCATCTATCTGTCTCTCTCTCCCTCCAACTATCTGTCTCTCTCTCTCTCCCTCCAACTATCTCTCTCTCTCTCTCTCCCTCCAACTATCTCTCTCTCTCTCTCTCTCTTCCTCTGTCTATCTCTCTCTCCGTATGTCTCTCTCTCCCTCCAACTATCTGTCTCTGTCTATCTCTCTCCGTATGTCTCTCTGTGTCTTTGTATCTCTCTCTCTCTTTTTCTCTCTCTATATCTGTCTTCATCTGTCTCTCTCTGGTACTAAGTTCAGTGTTGACGAACTGTTCAAAAATACCACACACACACACACACATGCACGCACGCCTTTTTCCCTTTGTACCAAAAAGCGGCTCCTGAAGAAAAGAGGAAACTTTTGAGTCTTCCTGCCGGTTCTGCTGAACAATGATACAGAAAATTGACACACACACACACACACACACACACACACACACACACACACACACACACACACACACACACACACACACACACACACACACACACACACACACACACACACACACACACACACACACACACACACACACACACACACACACACACACACACACACACACACACACACACACACACACACACACACACACACACACACACACACACACACACACACACACACACACACACACACACACACACACACACACACACACACACACACACACACACACACACACACACACACACACACACACACACACGGACCTCTATTTAAATGTACTCGACTTAGCCGATCCACTAGCAGACAGTAAACAACAGTCGTGTCGACCTTCCTTTAATAAAAAATGTTAGTGACCAGATGAATAGGGTCAGAGGTCAGAGGTCAAACCCAGAACAAGCTGTTCATTTTTAGTAAACTCCTCCTTCTCACACTTACCTTGAACTGGACCGTTATCCATGATTTCCTTCATGATCTCCTTTTCCTAAAAGAAGAGACGACGGGATTGATGAGGAAAAGGAGACGGAGGCAGACAGGAAGACAAACGATCCTGAACGTTACGAGTCAGATAACTAGATCGAGTCAGCAGGGCCAGCAGGTCTTAATGCTTTCCTTATTGACTCCACGGGAGAAACGACAAGCTGTAATGATTTTAAAACACATTAACTGTCACTTAACCCTGCCTTTAACTTCATTCTACAGAACAAGGCATTGATTTTATAAAATGAACTAATCTAATCCCAAATAACCTTCAAAAAGGACAATCAACAGGGATCAAACGGTCACTGGGATGAAAAGTGCAGTCTGTGAATCGGTTTACTATCATTACAGCTTGTTTTATCCAGCCTAACTCCTTTAAGAGATCGTGTTAGATTACTGGGAGCTTCCTGGATGCAGGATAAAGAGCAGAACTCCTGCTTAATCCTGCACGCGCCACAAGAAAAACAAGTTACCTGAAAGTCTGCTAAACAAGAACTGCAATGCTTCTGCAGGCTGGTTTTAGCATGAGGCTTACGTTGGAGGAGAGCCGGTAAGGGGGTGTGGACTGGTAGATGTCGTTGCGGTAGTTGTGCGTGTTGGGGCAGTGCTGCGTGGCCTGCCTCTTCCCCCGACCAACCGAACGGCTCTGCATCATACAGCGAGCCACCTCCGCTGGCGTCTGATGTGGGGGCGTGTACGGGTAGCAGTCCTCTGTCACAACTCTACAAACGGGGATGAAGAGGACTGACTGACTTCAGGGCTGATTTTAAATGAAACTGAGCTGGTTTTGATGAAGGGAGTGCTCACCCTCGACGGCGGAGGAACCACCAAGCTCCATCCACACGTCCTCCAGCGCAGCCGTCCTGGTTACGGGTGTCACAGGAGATGAGGTTTTGTGGAGACAGCTGAGGAGTCATGTGACCCATTGACTGGATGGAGATCCTGTCTGAAGCTACGGCTGGCGAAGAGAGTAAATGATGTCACTCTTGTGTTCAGGGCGTCGTCCGGATCGTACTGGGTGTGTTTGGACCCACCTGCCGTTGAAAAGGCCCAGGAAGCAGCACAGTTGCCCTGATCCAAGGGTTCGTGAATCTTCCCCGGCCACTTCTCTGTGGAGTTGAAGTAGCGTGGCAGGTGATCGTTCTGAGGATCCATGTTCACCTGAAGAGAACAAAGATCAGCAAAATGATTTCGATCATTTCATTCCATCTCTTTAATATGTTTAAATCAATCAGGCATAGCTTCCCGAACAGCCTCTGCTCAGAGAAACAGAGATTGCATCCGACTGGACTGATTCACTAACCACCAAAGACCACGTAACATCGTAGATGTTTTTCCCCCCGACGAGCTCAGCATCCCTTTGACTGGAAACATTCAAACGCAATTTGGCGGCAAAATCATTCTGTGCTGGTCTTGCGCTGCTTTTGCGTTTGACGCATTCTGGATGTGTGGCAAATAAAAAATAGACTCGACGTGTAAACTTTGGCAGAGCGACGACGTGACACTACGCTTCTTGGAAACATCCAAAGTGCACAGCTTCACACCGCTTCATCAACGTTAACGCAACACTTACTCACGGAATGTCGAGATAACAGCTCCGCTCTCCAAATCTTTAAAGATTTATGCCGCATTTTCTTAGAAACTTCTACACCGCCATTGAGTTCTCATGACGTGGTTATTTTAAAATCATAAAGCCACCAACAGCAGCACTTCCAGTGCATCCAAGACTCAACAACAGGAAGATCAGAAGATTTATGCTTAAAAACGGAACGTTCACCACAAAACAGAAGACATTCTCAGGATTTAGGCGAATGAAGCCACATATTCTAGCCTAGTAGTTAGCCCATCAGTCTCTTAGGATACATGCTTGCTTTCTTTCACCAGAGGAAAACTGACCAACATTTATGCAGAAACACAATTCAGCATGGTTAGAAATGATCATTTTATGACTTCTGTTTAAATCTTTTATTTAAATTCACTTTTGTTTTTATCTTGACTGACTGTGATAATGTTTTCATTATTTAGGAACAGTGTTGTTTTCACTTATTTTAAGGTCCTTAACCTCTCTCAGTATCATGTGACTGGTTTTAGTGTTTTGTGTGAAGCGCTTTGGTCTCCTGGGAGTTTAAAGCGCTTCACAGATTAAGCTGGTATCGTGTGCTGTGGTGTGGTTCCTGTAAGAAGTTCAATTGCAATATTAATATTAATTAATATTCAACAGTTTCGATGTTTTAATGTTATCGTGATAAGTACGGCTCTGAAGGGTTAAATCCAGTTGATAAGTTTGATTAACGTGCTTATTCAATTCAATTCAATTCAAGTTTATTTATAAAACGCCGAATCACGACAAGAGTCGTCTCAAGAAACTTCACATAATAAACATTCCAATTCAGGTCAGTTCATTAAGCCAATCAGAAATAATGTTTCCTATATAAGGAACCCAGCAATCCTCATACTAAGCAAGCATGCAGCGACAGTGGAGAGGAAAACTCCCTTTTAACAGGAAGAAACCTCCAGAGAATCCTGGCTCAGTATAAGCAGCCATCCTCCACGACTCACTGGGGATCGAGAAGACAGAGCAGACACACACACACGCGCACACACACGCACGCCTTTTGTTTTATAAACACAGTAAATAAAAACAACTCACGTTTCTTTTCAGAGAGTTAGTAAACATGTTTAGTTGAGGTCGAAATTGAAAAATGCAGATCGGTATGCTGAGTTTAGATCCTAGTGCACTGTAAAAAAAATAACGTAGATTTTACGGTAAAATGCTGCAAATAACGTTGCCGAAATGAAGCAGTAACATTTGAGATTCCAGAAATCTCCTTTTCAACCCGCTGCTTCAGAGGGAATCAGGTAGGACCCTTTCATCCCGGGTGGGTTTGCTGGTTGCATCTGACTGACCTCCTGGCAGACGCGCTTCCTCCATTAATCTGCACGCTCGCCTGATCTGTCAGACGGCAAAATGGCTTTTCCTCGACAGATTTTGGCTACCTGAGCTGCATTCCTGTGATTAACGGTGAGGTGTTCCGACGCCGCGTGACGCATGTCCAAGGAATGCGGAGGGTCAAAGTTCAAAAAGCATCCGGTGGGACGAAGGAATCGAGAGAGAATGATTACAGGATGTGCGAGAAGAAAAAGCTTAGAGGTGCGTTTTGGGTGGGGATGGATGGAGGGGGGAAGGCGTGGACCGCCACGATCACTCCCCTGTTATCTTTATTCTAATCAGATGTTTTGATTCAGTCTTGTGTAATCAGTCTGGATCCAGACGGAGACGTGATCTTGTACCAACAAGTCCCCACCATTAGCTGAAAATAGCTTCATCAGCACTTGCTTGTGATCAACCCAGATGTCACTCATCAGAAATTCACAGGAAGTGTGAAAATCACAGCTCAGCTGTAGCAAAAACATCCCGTCTGCCTCCGCCATCCCCCCACCGCTCCCTCACTCTTTTTCTGACTCACGAGTCGTCCTGAAGCTATTCTCATTCCCACCTTTTTCCTTAAGCTGCTGCTAGCAAGTGAGACTCGTCTCTAAACGAGTGGTCAGAAACAATCAGAAGGTCACCAAACCCCTTTTAACATGTACTTTAACCTCAATGTGAGAAAAACTAACATTTAATGGGGAAAACCTTGTGCTCAGGTCCATAAAATGAAACCATTACATCCAGAAAAGGACAAAGAATGAATGAAAACAGCTGTTAAAAGAAGGACAGAGGAGATTTCCACATTTGGACAACAGTGTCTCTGAGTCTTATTCCCCCGTCTGTAAATGGGAACTGGTGGGCTTTGAGATATTTTCAGAAAATAAACATTTTTTATGTCAAACAAGAGAACACAGGATGAACCATCACATCCTAAAACTGATTTTCAAATAGTTTTCCTCTTTTAAAGACCAAGTTCCCTTGTTTTTTCAACACCTCTGCAGTGGTCTCTGGTACGAACGAATACCTCTCCTCTGATTTACTAGCAGCAGCACGACTACCACTGACCGTTTGCTCTGCAACACTGATTTTTTTATCTCCACAGATAACACAAGACTGGAGGAGTTCTGCTGTGTGGTGGAGTTGCTAATGCTAACGGTTAGCTTCTACTAGCTGAGATGTTCTCTGCTGTTTCCCGGACGCTAAACCAACAACAGCCTTCCTCGTGGCGAGCCAAGAAAAGTGAGGCCTTTAAATATTTTGAGGTAAAAATGATTTTTTAGGAGTTGCGTCCACCAACACTGTCCTCACCCGGATCTCGTTCATGTTCATGATGGTGCTGGAAGGTCTCTGAGTGCCCAGACGGTAGCGGATTCCCTCGGCCAACGTCATGCCATAGAACTGGCTGTAGTTGGCTGCTTTCCACCTGGAAACACAAAGTCTTTGGTTAAATCAAAGTCAGCCCACCAAACAAACGTCATTTGCTCCTTGTTTGTGGGTATCTGTTACCCATAGTTCCCTCTGTTGACGGCGTGGATAATGGTGGGCTCGACGAGACAAGGGTTCTGCTCACAATCCCAGCGTCCTGAAGGCCCACAGGTACTGAAGGTGTGCAAAAATCCCACAAACAATTATTGGGGCAACACTTATAAAACTACATTATCACCAATAATAATATTACAGAAGAAAGCCATAACTATAGAGATCATACTAACAACCTGTTTTTGAAATAACGAGTATTAAAGTTTACTGACCTTGTTCAATTCTTGACATTACAAATAATGTATAAAGCTAATGACAAACTACTCCACGGTAATATACAAAAGTATTTCTCATATAGAGATAAACAATATAATTTGAGAGAGGAATGGAATTTAAACTACCCGTCTGTGCGAACGACAGTAAAAAGTCAGTGCATCTCTGTTTGTGGGGTAAAATTATGGAATGGATTAAATAGTGATTTAAATCAATGTCCAAGTATGACCCAATTTAGAAAGTGGTACAAAAATATGGTCTTCATGAGGTACAGGGAGGAAGAGGGAGTTTAGCTCAAAAAGATCCAGTGAGTTGTGTGTGAGGGTGTAAGTGTACAAAAGAAAATGGGGTGTGTTGTAAGTATGTGTAGTAGGGAATGTTAATCGCTGTGTGTGGTGGTTAAATGGAAAAGGTATGTAGAACTATTTTGCATGGGCCATTTGACTATAGATGAATATAGAAAATTTATGATGAATTAGGAGAACAACATCGTTCCTTTTGATCTTGAACAAATGGGAAAAGGGGGGTAGGATTTAATAAGCACTAGCTTCCTCCTACGCCTTTTCGAACAGAATATGATAATTTAATTTTTGTGTGATTATCAGTGTGATTTTATTTTTAATGTCTACAATGACTTTGTTAGTATTATTGTTATAATAGTTATTTTCATTCTTATTATAATGTTCGAAATAAAGATTTCATTCATTCATTCATTCATTCATTGTGTCTATGGTGAAGCAAAAGCAGCTCAATGATGGATGTCCAAAGTGTGGCCCTAATGGACTATTACACTGACAATTTTTAAGGAATCAAAGCTTTATAGTCATATGTGCACAAGGAAACGTTTTTCCCTGCAGTGATATTCCCACACTGGATGCCAAAGTATAATCAGATACGTAAAGCAAAAGGAAGACATACGAAATGCTATAAACATTCAGAGTTCGGCCTTTGTCGTGAGACATTTGGACACCCCTGCTCTGAGGTTCAATGCAATTCCAAATAAATAAAGGATGACAAGTTCAAAGAAACATTTGAAGATCCATTTTTATTCTGGTGATGGTGATTATTAACGATGACACGGAGGAGTTCATTTCAGGGATGTTCAGAAAACATCTCCGATGACTCATTCTGGAGGAATCTGTCTGCACGCGTTAGCGTCGGAGTATCCAGTATAACCTGATTTTAGGTTGCGTCCTACAAATGCATCCTTCTTTCCCCATATTTGAAAGGTGGGTACGGTGAATTCGTACCGCTCTACTCTAAGATTCATTGGCGGCCAAATGAGAATATGAAAAAGATTCAAGTTATAAATGTAAGCATATTAAAATGTGACGGTTGCTAGGTAACAGGACACCACAGTAAGGGTAGTGACCGTCCAATTTCACAGCGCCTCACTTTGGGCTTCACGGTCAAAGAAGGACCTGGCCTACATTGACTAGGTAGGCCGGGACCTTTGAAGGATTCAGCCCCTGAATTTGGACACAACCGAGTGTCATCACCTCACCTTGCAGTGATGCGTTGTGTTTCCTTTGCCGTTTTCTCTGCATTCAAGGCAAACTACGAAATAAGGAAACCTGAAGTGACTCCGACCAGAGCAACAAACTACAAGTGTGAAAACACTTTTAGTGTACGCTGCGAAGGCATTGCATTAACCACTGGAAAACCGTGGTACTTCCAGTCAAGGTTAGCATAGCGCCGAAATCTCATTCCTGATTAAAACTGTTGCAAACATAAAACATCCGACTAAAATTTCCTTTAATCGTGCGTGCCAAGCTTTTATCCACCACAAAGCTGCTAGATATGAACACATCATGGAGCAGGATAAGAATGCTTTTGACTGTAGGCTTCTGCTTGGTGTCCCAGACTAGAGGCCGACCCATATGGGATTTTTAATGCCGGTGTCGGTACAAGATCTGCTCGGGTGCATGATCGGCTCGGGGTCCGTCGACTGCCGGTGACGTCAAAGTAGTTGATAGGCTGATCATGAACCTTACGGAATTACGTAATGACGTTACGTTGTTATCACGCTAAGTTGGTCCAGGCAAATTTTTCTGTTGGAAAGATGGACAACTTTTACAAAGAAATCCATCATTACCTCTTTGAAAATACACTTTTAGCATAGAGCTGCATGTATATTAGGGCTGAACGATTAACTGCATGCATAAATTGCGATGTGATAAAAGGAGATTTTCTAATGGCAAAGGCTGCAATTTGGCAGCGAGTGGTTAGCGCAATGCTAACATAAATGGAAAAACCCATAGGAATGCTAATGCTAATATTACCGATTACATTATTACAAATTATGAATTAGAAACGTGCCAAATGATTACATTTGGAGTCTAATACAAAGTAAAACTACCATCAATCAAATAAGTACAGACAGGTATTTTAGTAAAGCCAGAAAACTTTTAACTCCAGAGTTTTGGCTAGCAGCTATGAGCGTAACTGAACTACGCATGGACAAGACGTCAAAAACTAAACACAAAATACTTCAATAAACGGGACACACTTCTTTCCTGCAAATACAATTTCACAGGTGTTGCTAATATCTATGATCCTTCAAGGGATGTGCTCAAAGAGGAGTTCAACATTATGAATACAATAGTGTTTTATTTTACAAATACCATTATAAACACAAACTTACGTCTTAAGAAACATTATTTTAATAACGAAACTGCTAAATTATTTCCAACAGTATAGATGTGTAGTATATTTTGTCCGAGTGGGTTTGCCGTACTTTGACGTCATCGGCAGTCGAAGGACCCCGAGCAGATCTTGTACCGACACCGATTTGTAACGAATTAGGTTGCCGATAAGTAAAGCCGGTTGTTAAGGCCGATGTACGTTTTAGCAGCACATTGATCGTGAAAGACAACTGAACACTTACTGTGTGCAACACAAGTCAATAAGTCAATAAATCCCTTAATATTTATATAATATGTATTAAAAATAAACTGTGTTGGGGTCCTTTGGGTCCTTTCTTCAGTCTAGTAGTGGCAGTTGTTGGCCACACGGGTGCCTGATTTTTATACATCTTTAAATCTGCTTTTAAAAATAATCTTGGCCGATATAGAAAAAATTGCACAATATATCGACCGGCTGATTTATCGGTCGGCCTTGATCCCAGACATTTGAGCTAACAGAATCCTGAGGTGCACAACTTCTCATGAATACACTCAACCTGGCAGATTTCATTAGTCTATGAATCTGGACCAACCATCGCACCATCTGCAGGTCCGTCTAGCCACGCCCCATTGTCGCCTCAGCAGGTCTACCATTGGCTCAAACACTTTTGTGTCTTGTAGATTGGCCTCAATGCTAGAGCTACGACGAAGAAAAACTTCAAAGATGACGTCGGCTCGTTAATGGTGCAGGTTGACACGGCTTTGGTATCAACGTTGGACAACTTAGACTTGGTCTTTTACTTGAGACACGAGCAAATAGAATCCTTTAGTCCTTCATCTGTGTACGGTGGACTGGACTGCAACGATGAGTGATCTCTGTCACCTTGTTCGTTGCTCTGATTGGTCCTGGCGTTGTCCGTTTGCATGCGGAGGCGGTTTGAAAGACAACCGTAGACTCTGCTCCACCACTGGGTTGGTACATAATGATGATGAGCGCCAGGCTAAGATTTAATACCAACAAACGTCTGACTATATGAAGTCGTTGGTTAGGGCAGGGGTGGGGAACCCTGGTCCATCGAGGGCCGATATCCAGCGTATTTTTGTTTCAACCCTGCATCATCACACCTGGTTTCAATCAGCAGGTGATTAACAGGCTTCTGCAGAGCCTGATGAGCTGCAGAACAGGTGAATCAACCCCTGAATCAGAAGTGTTGGAGCAAAGACGTGCAGGACACCGGCCCTCGAGGACCAGGGTTTCCCACGCCTGGGTTAGGGAAAAGTGACGGTGACCTTTAACCTTTTCCTCCCTCCAACTGAAGGTCGGAGCAGAACTCATATGAGTTCATGGGCTCAGAAGCAGCAGCAGAATCATAGCAATAAAGTGGGACTGGTGCAAAGACAGCGGGTGACCATATTTAACATCAGTCAGACACTTTCAGCAAGAATAAACCCTCCCTCAGCTCGATGGCATCCGTTAATAAGTGTTCAGACATCTGCACCATGTACATCTCAGAGCATTTTAATGAACTTTGGCTGTTTTTCCAGTTGCATGAGCCAAGCAGAGCAGACCAGTTGCCAAATCAAACCACAGATTTCTGCTCCTTCTTCGTGTTTGGATCACTGAGCATTTGAGGCAGATAAAAGGCCTATTTAGAGCACCCTTGTTTCTGCTCATTTCACAATAACCAGCCACTTCCCCTGCAGTAGGAACAGATTCAGAGGCCTGACTTCTCTTAATAAGACACTTCAGAAAAAACGCTGGCAGTCAGCTGAAAGAGGAAGCTGTGTTTTCCACCCTGCAGAGTCGGGAGGACACACATGTGGGGAACTAATAAGAGTGGGAGCTGGAAAAAAGGGAGATTAGGTGTCCCCTCATGCCAAAGCAGTAGCACAATGGTTAAGTGGCCTTGAGTAACGTCTTCGCTAGCGCGTGTGAGAATGTTTGTGCACAGCGGACTTTTGTTTGGACGGTGAAACAGATGGTAGCACGTAAACGATGTTTCCCAACGAGCTAGAAGACTAAAGTTTTACAACACTTATATTTATGACATCTGTCTGATTGTCCTCAAATTTACATAAAACACAAGAAAACATCCTGAAAATGGATTTTTGACACAGGATATGCAGGTGCAGGAAACACTGGTACAAAGTCAAAAAATTACATAAATCTCTGCAAAATGTTTAAAAAAAAACACAAGATGGCTGGGAAAAAAGCACTAAAACAGATAAAAACAGTATTTATGGATAAATAATAAATACAAAAATGACTTTAAATCAATAAAAGGCTGAATGGGAAATGTGACAAGCCTCATTTTGATGATAAAAACAATCATTTTTAATATAATAATGAAAACAGAAATTTGCTATTTGCCAAAATATTTTCTTCTTCCCTGTTTTTGTTGTCAAAGTTTATTCCTTGTTTGTAAAATTGCTCTAGCATGTTTTAAAGTGTTGATTTTAAGAATGTCTTCATACTTTTACAACCCCCCAGGGAGACGGCGTGGGGGTGGGGTACTTTATTGTGCAACAAGAAACCAATTTTTAATCATTTTTCTTACTGGCTTAAAATGGTTTCTTTTTGTTTTGTTTTTATGTTCACTCTAAGAAATGAAATATTGAATGAACTTAACCGAGTTGTGTGAACTGGTTTCACTAAACCTATAGTAGCTTAAAAGTAAGAATAGAATAGAATAGAATAGAATAGAAAAGAAAAGAATTAATCACTTGTTAAAGCAGCACAGAAGAAGAGTAAAGAGTAACATTTACTTTTAACATAAAGACATTGTGTATTACGCTGTACATTTAATCAGCTGGGTTTCCTGGAACAAAGTGACGTAACTTGGTTAAGTTAATTTAACATTTTATTTCTTACAGTGTAGTTTATGTGGTTTTTGACATTGTTTTCTGTTCTTTAAGCCTCCAGCTGATTGATTTTATCCTAAATGATGCAACTCTTAACCCAGCTTGATTTTATCCTAAATGATGCAACTCTTAACCCAGCTTTATGAAGGTTTTAAATTTCAATGTTCTGACTAATAATCCCAATATTACGGAAGAGGATTAGGGCCACTGAAAAGAAAAAAAAAAGAGAATTCTGACTTTAATCTCAGAATGTTGATTTTTTTTTCTCTCAGGATTATTAAAATTAGAATTCTGAGATTAAAGTCATAATTCAAAGAAAAATTGTTAGAATTGTCAGGAAAAAATATCTGAATTCTGAGATTAAAGTCAGATTTCTAAGAAAAAAAAGTCAGATTTCTGAAATTAAAGTCAGAATTCTTAGAAAAATATCAGAATTCTGAGAAAAATAAAGTCAGTATTTTCAGAAAAAAAGTCAGAATTCTGAGATTAAAGTCAGAATTCTTAGAAAAATATCAGAATTCTTAAAAAAAAGTCAGAATTCTGAGATTAAAGTCAGAATTCTTAGAAAAATATCAGAATTCTTAAAAAAAAGTCAGAATTCTGAGATTAAAGTCAGAATTCTTAGAAAAATATCAGAATTCTGAGAAAAATAAAGTCAGAATTCTCAGAAAAAAGTCAGAATTCTCAGAAAAAAGTCAGAATTATGAGATTAAAGTCAGAATTATGAGAAAAAAAAAGTCAGATTTCTGAAATTAAAGTCAGAATTCTCAGAAAAAAGTCAGAATTCTGAGAAAAAAAGCCAGAATTCTCTTTCCATAATCCTCTTCCGTACAATGTGTTCATCTCTAAATTCTTGGAGATTATTTTTGAAATTTCCTTTTTGGTCATCAGAGGTTTTGGACCTTGGAATGCTCATGGAGGCCATTTTACCCATGTCTGTTTCTGACCTCTGACCTCTAACCAAGTGAGGCCCAACAGGGCTTTAAACGTCCTCAGTACTTTTTTGTTGGGTGTCTTTAGAACATGTGTTGCTCTTAGCCTACTTCATGCTGTCAGGCAACTCCTACTGAATCCACTTTTTAGTTGTACGGGTTTGAAAGTAATCAAAGTGAAACTGAGCTCAGCTTTACAATTGTTGTTAATCACTCAAATCAAATTTTGAAAACTGCTATTTGTATTTACTCAGGTTCTCTTTATTTGATAGTTATTTACAAAAACATAAGTACTTTTTCTAGCAGTGTGTGTTAAATCTCCACGAGTGTGTGTGAAGGCTCGTTCATCCACACGGTGAGGACTGGCACCGAGGCGAAGAACACGAGTTAGTCAGGTGAGGAATTTACATTTTTGCTTTTAGCCTTGCTAGCTTAACCCACTTAGCCCTGCTGCATCCCTCCTTCGCATCATCCAGGAAAAGGACAACAGAACAACTGTGTTGGAGGAAACCACCGAGATAGAAGACATGTTTACAGAAAGTGGGTGTCGGGGTCAGAAAGTGTCGAGCTGACTGTGAAAACGTCCTTCAGAAGAAAACAAATCAACACTATCTCAGGAATTCAGACGGGGAGTCAAAACAAGGACGAGGCGGCTGCTTTTGATTTAGTGGGTTTTTACCTAAATCAAAGGAGAGTTTGTGGCTAAACAGGAAAAGTGCTTCAATTACTGTTAAATTTACCACGAGGGTCAAAAGTGTGATGAAAGTTTCCACTTGATAGAAGATGTGGAGGGGATTTCACAAGGGGCTTGTTTAGATTCACATTTCCTCTTTACTTGGAACAAACAGTCGTCTGTACAAAGACGCATGACATTATAAATGATTTCATTGATTAAAGGGATACTTTGCAAATGTTTCATATTTTTAAATCACTTTCTTGAGCCAGAATGTGATAAAATGACTCTTTACAACATGCCCAGCCCCTTTTGCCAGACCATCCCACTTGCAACTTCAGAATGGCGCAGCTGGCAAACCTGGCGTTGCAGTCTGCTTCTGGCATGTTTAATTTAATTTAATTTAGTCATGAGTCACTCCTCTAGACACGTAGGAATGCTGGGAGGCGTTTCAGCTTAAGGTGTTAATCTCGTGGGCGACGGCAGCACAGGAGTCAAGTGCTCGCCCTGTAATCGGAAGGTTGCAGGTTCGAGCCCTGCTCAGTCTGTCGCTGTCATTGTGTCCTTGGGCAAGACACTTAACCCACCTTGCCTGCTGGTGGTGGTCGGAGGGACCGGTGGCGCCAGCGCTCGGCAGCCTCAGAGCGCCCCAGGGCAGCTGTGGCTATGTCGTAGCTCATCCCCACCAGTGTGTGAATGACTGATTGTGTTGTAAAGCGCCTCGGGGGGTTCCGGGACTCTAGAAGGCGCTAAATCAAATACAGGCCATTTACCACAAAGACGAACGCACGGCAAGGAGATTGGTTTTGCTTCTACAAACAGACACTAGGGGGTGCTAAAAGTAAGAAACCTGCCTGGTGCCCTGTGTCATGGTGTGCCTATAATCCCAGTTCAGTAAATACTCTGGTTTTGTTTCACGGTTTGGTTCATTTTTCGTAGGTTTAGGGGACAAAGTTCTCCAACTAAATATTCTCAGATGACATCAAACGTATAACAGTCCACGTATTTTATTTTTAGGAACCTCCAGCATCCGCACGTTGTCTTTCTCAGCTGTAACTGAAATAACAATAACGGGAATATTTTTTATCTTTAGGAAATCGACTTCCTGGACTTCCTCACATCCAACTCACAGCTTTGTTCAGGTTCATCCAACCTTCGGGGTTTTTGATAGAAAAATTCATTTGTTCACGTTGTCTGCTGCGGGCAGTTTTCACATCTGCAGGTGTAGAAATGACCCTCTCGCTACGGAGAAGAGGTAGCTCATCTATATATATGGCATGCATGTTTGTGCATGTTTCTATGTATGTAGTTGCATGTAGGCAGGGGTGGACTGGGACCAAAATTTGGCCCTGGCATTTTTTAGAACCATCGGCCCTAAGTCGACCCTCCTCATTGGGATAGTGGTGGGGGTGGGGGGTGGTGCCGCCCGCGGACTCGTCTATAGGCCAAATGTGAGACCTAATATGGACTGGGACTGTTAAATTACAAGCGGGGCCAGACCGCTGCGACCGGGAGCCCTGGCCTTCCAGATTCAACACATTCTCACACCCAAGACGTCAAAATATGACGCGTGTGACCAAGCCTCAATATATGACGATTCGGGATGCCCCAGCGCATCAGAAGACGACGATCAGGGACACGCTGGGACACGTGGCTCCGCTGGCGTCACTGTTTGACGCGCGCGGTCACACAGACATTATTCGACTATTTAACATTCCCCTCACCCCAATCCTTACCTTAAGGTCCATAAACTGTGACCTTAAGGTTAGGATTGGGGTGAGGGGAATGTTAAGTAGTTCACAAGTAGTTCCAATGTCCGTCTCAGCAACAGCATTGGACACCGACGCTCCGGGACGCTGCGTCAGCAGTTTGTCCCTGATCGTTGTCTCCTGACGCGCTGGGGCGTCCCGAACCGTCATATTTTGACGCTTGGTCACACGCGTCATATTTTGACGCCTTGGGTGTGAGAATGTGTTGCCAGATCAGCTCATTCTCCACGGGCGGAGATCAGCGGCACATTAGCTACATGCTAACGCGGTATAACAACTCCTACGTCATCGCTCTACCGTGTTTTCCTTGCTAAAAATGCCTGGGGAAAACTCTGTTAGCTTCGGGTTACCATGTAGCTAATGTTCTGCAACTGTGGAGTAGTGTCGGCCCAAGCTGGGCGAGCAACCCACCGGGACAGTGCCAGAATGCTAGACAGGCCAGTCCACCCCTGCATGTGGGTTTAATAACAATGGTGCAATGAGTTGAACACTGTCGCTCTACACAAGATAAACAAACGTACTACACAACAAGGCCTCTCGTGGTGTTCTTTCTCAATCAAAACTCAAATTATAAATACGTATTTTGTAACGCACAGAGTTGAGTGTCAAGCTGTGCTAATCTGACATGTTTCAGCAGTTCCCTAGAGTCCACAAAGAATTAGAAAAAATGGCGTGTGTGCAACATGTTGATGTGATGCATTCATACTGGATAAAGTTTCTGTTTATTCAGCTACAGAGCTCACGGGTTTGGGTGGAAGAACACTAATTACAGAAGACAGGCTTTACGTACCAGAGATTGCAGTTTTCTTTGTATGTTTGCCCCGTGAAGAATCGGTTTCCATTCCTTTCACAGGCGTCTGAGAAGAGAGAGTGCTGGTTTAATTAATATATGTGGGTTTTATGTGGCTAAACACAACCCATTCTACCACTAATCCCCAAGAAAGTCATGCAAACAAGCTGAAATATGGATGAATACATGGCTGATGAGGGGAAAAGATGCATTCGGTATTTAAATTATATTGTTTCATGTTTAATCAAGCTCAGTAATGGTGAATTATCACTAATTCATGTGTGTGTGTGCTTGTGGGGCACACACACACAAGCTTATGTGAGGTCTAAGGAGCTCTGAGCCGCAGTAATCCAGTGTAGGAATGTGGTTTTAGCTTCTTTCCTCCCTTCCCATGGTTTATCCATCTCACACTCCACTTCACCGCCTCTCCTGAGATCCAGGTGAAACACGTCTTATAGCACAACAAGCTGGAAAAATCATTTCAGCATTCCCGAGAGTTCGGAGTTGAGGTGTTGAGATAAAACAAAAACCATTAAACCTTCCACCGTCCTAATGGGTATGACCCTGCGAGGAAAGTTGACCATTGAGCAGGATTGATGGTTTATCCCTCGAGGTCCACGCGGCAGGGGTGAGGTGGTGCTCACTCCTCACCCCTGCCACATGGACCTCAAGGGATAAACCATCAATCCTGCTCGATGGTCCACTTTCCTCGCGGGGTCACACCCATTAGCAAGGCGGAAGGGTTAAATGAGTCGTCCTCCTGAAGTTTCGGCGAAAACTACACCGGGGCTCGGGTGAGGTTTATCTACCTGCTGATTTACAGTGGTGTGTGTGTGTGCGTGTGTGTGTGTGTGTGTGTGTGTGTGTGTGTGTGTGTGTGTGTGTGTGTGTGTGTGTGTGTGTGTGTGTGTGTGTGTGTGTGTGTGTGTGTGTGTGTGTGTGTGTGTGTGTGTGTGTGTGTGTGTGTGTGTGTGTGTGTGTGTGTGTGTGTGTGTGTGTGTGTGTGTGTGTGTGTCAGCGCTGGTTTAGTGTGGAATTTAAACCGTCTGCGGCGTTACAGTGGGCTGGTGCAAGCCCTGAGCTGATTGTGTGATTTATGAGGCCGTCCTCCAGCTCCCAGCTGTCGAACTTCATCAGTCGTAACTCAGTCACTGCAGCATCAACAAGTTACACATTAATGCACACAGACTGCATAACGCAGAGGAAAACACACACTCAGGTATGTACGTCCCTAGCCTTCTGACTGGGATAACCTGCCCTTCTACCCCACATCGACTGCACCCCCCAGCCTCCCACATAGCCCACATTCTTTCTCCTGGTTGCTTCTTACACCCCTCCTCCTTTTCCTCTCCAGGTTAATAAGAAACCCACTGTTCTGTTCTCAGGTATTGCTGCTTTTCGCTCCCTCTGGCACGTTTTACACCTCCGCACTGAGAGAATGGAGCTGTGACTGAAGTCAGGAGAACAGTTTTATGGCTGGGTTACACGACTGAATGGAAGTTGTTTAGGTGGACCGAATGCTAACAACACTTTTCTGCTTACAAAACTGCACCCTAATTGGTTTTTACCAACTGTTTAGTCTAGCATTGCAGTACAGGTTCTTTTGATCAAAGCTGCAGGTCGACACCCGTGCTTTTACCTCCACTTATCCGGGGTCGTGTCGTGGGGCAGTAGCCTGAGCAGAAAGAGGCCCAGACCAATTGGGCCAGCTCCTCCCAAGGTGTTCTTAGAGACATATTCCCTCCAGCGTGTCCTGGGTCTTCCCTTGGGTCTCCTCCCAGGTGGACATACCCAGAAAACCTCACCAGGAAGGCGTCCAGGAGGCATAACGAGATGCCCGAGCCACCTCAACTGGCTCCTCTTGGTGTAGAGCAACAGCGGATCTACTCCGAGCCCCTCCCGGATGATCGAGCTTCTCACCCTATCTCTAAGGGAGAGCCCAGACACCTTGTGGAGAAAACTCATTTCTGCCTCTTGTATCGGCAATCTCGTTCTTTCGGTCACTACCCAAAGCTCATGACCATAGGTGAGGGTAGGAAGTAGATCGACTGGTAAATCGAGAGCTTCGCCTTCTCGCTCAGCTCTCTCTTCACCACGACAGACCGGTACAACGCCCGCATCACTGCAGATGCAGCACCAATCCGCCTATCGATCTCACGCTCCAGTTTTCCCTCACTCGTGAACAAGACCCCGAGATACTTAAACTCCTCCACTTGGGGCAGGACCTCATCCCTGACCCGGAGAAGGCATTCTACCCTTTTCCGAATCAAGACCATGGTCTCAGATTTAGAGGAGCTGATTCTCATCCCAGCTGCTTCACACTCGACTGCGAACCGCTCCAGTGAGAGCCTGAGATCACGTTCTGATGAAGCCAACAGGACCACATCGTCTGCAAAAAGCAGAGACCTGATCCTCAGGCCACCAAAACCGATCTCCTCAACACCTTGGCTGCACCTAGAAATCCTGTCCATAAAGGTTATGAACTTTGAAGTGATAAAGGGCAGCCTTAACCCTAATCGACTTACACGGACCTAACAGATACCCCTGAGGTACCCCCCCACCGGGCCCCTGAGGGACGCGGTCAAACGCCTTCTCCAAATCCACAAAACACATGTAGATTATATGGGCGAACCTCCACGCACCCTCCAGGACCCCCTAAGGGTATAGAGCTGGTCCAGTGTTCCACGGCCAGGACGAAAACCACGTTGCTCCTCCTGAATCCGAGATTTTGAATCCGACAGACCCTCCGTTCCCCCCGAACGCGCAGACATCCCAATCTGCCTTCATCTAAGACCACTGTTTGGTTTTGTTATAGTCTCTAAAGAAAATCTCTGCTTTTTGACATTTATCCCTGTTCTTTTAGTCACAATGGATTATGGGAGATGGCTTCTGTCCCTTCAGTAAAACAAATAACTTCCCAGAACATTTTCCTGGATCAGAGAAGACAGGAAGTCCTTGATGAGTGTGCAACAGGTGACTTTGCGCTGCAGGGGAGCTCTGCTTTGTGTCATCAGCTGCTCAAGGTAAATATAAAACAAGGTGGAGGGGGGAGGGCAACGCATCAATCAGTGGTACTTATGGTAACAAAGTGGGTCATAACAAGAAGAGTGCCATTTGTTACGCGGCTCGTTTTACTCAACGCTGCCGCCGTGAGCTCCTCTCTGTCAGCCGTAGTGAATTAGTGAAGGAGCGACAAGAACACAGGCGTGAAAAACTCAGAGTTCCTTTACAGTGGTGCAAAAGAAATGAGAACATTTATGTTTGATGAGTTTTTGATCATTCTCACACCTCCACACCTGCAACCTTTAGCAAAAACCCCAAATAAAAAGACAGGACGGTACAGTATGTGACTGTGATTCAGTTTCATGTGTCAGCAGAGTCCCCTATGGTCCGGACTGAGCCTAACTAACGGTGAAGGGCCCTCACATCCTCCTATAAGGGTTAGAGATGTTTACACAAACACATTTCACCTAAACCTACCAATGAGAGGCGGTGGAACACCCAGACAGTGACCCCAGAAGTCAGGGCAGCAGTCGGAGACGGTCCGGTTGCAGAACAAGTCGCAGTAGCAGATGGTGTCCAGGTAAGGCACCGTGCACAGGTCGTCTCTGCCGGGGCAGCACCCTCCTCTCCTCTGGCAGTAAGAGCCATGCGGGTCTCTGATCCCACCGACATGCAGCGGACTAGCAAGCTCCCTTCTGGTTCTTCTGGACAGGATTCTGTCTGCAGTGACCCGCTCTACCACCAGGGGCAGCACCACAACAATCAGGAGGATGAGACGCATGATCAACCTGCAGGAAGACGTGAAGGTAAACTTCAGTTGTTCTGACTTTAAAGTAACAGTTTGCTGAGATTAAAGTAACACTAAACAGTTTTAAACACTTCAAAAGTGGGTTTGAGTGACAGCAAGCTTCAGCTACTTCACGCTGAACACCACTCTGCTGCCCTCTGCTGCCCAAAAACCATACTTTACACTTTTGTGGAGTGGGTAGGTGCCTTATAGGGGGAGTTCTATACCTACTTTATGTATGTTAGCTGTGACGCTAGCAGCCTGGAAGTTAAAATAAGTGAGTAACGTGTTAAGAGGCGAAGCCACAATCTAAAACCAGAGTGAACATCAGCGCGGCCTATGCTAGTATGAGGGAGCTAAAGGAGGCTACTAAATCACGGACTGATGGTGACCTGGCTTTGTTGCTCCTCAACTTGTAAGTCATAACATTTTTGTATAACAGTGTGGATCATTTTATTTCTTGGTTTATTTTAGTATCAGCTGGCTCATGTTAGTGTTGGCTCTTTGTTGAAATGGTAAATGGCCTTCTAGAGTCCTGGAACCGCCCCAAGACACTTTACAACACAGTCAGTCATTCACACATTCACACACTGGTGGGGATGAGCTACGACGTAGCCACAGCTGCCCTGGGGTGCGCTGATAGAGCTATACACGAGCACCACTGGTCCCTCTGACCACCACCAGCAGGCAAGCTGGCTTAAGTGTCTTGCCAAGGACACAGCGACAGCTAGCTGTTAGTGCTAGCTACAGCAGGCCGCTGCAGGGTTGTTTACGACAATTGCAACTCCACTTTTAACCAGCAGGGCGGAGAAGCAGAAAACTGCTTTGTGTTTTGAGGTTTCTTCCTGTTACAAGGTAGTTTTCCTCTCCACTGTCGCTGCATGCTTGCTTAGTATGAGGAATGCTGTAAAGACTCTGACGCAAGTAAGTGACTCGATGCAACCTGCTGGGTTCCTTATACAGGAAACATTTAACTGATTGGCTTAATGAACTGACCTGTATTGGAGCTTTTACTGTGTGACGTGCCTTGAGACGACTCTTGTCATGATTTGGCGCTTTATAAATAAACTTGAATTGATTTGAATTATTAGTCAGACTTCTTTTTATTTTTGTCTTTTCAGTGTCTCCAAGTGTAATTTATTACACGCAATTTGGTTCTTACTTGACAGAGAAAACACTGAAGATCATTTGAGCAGTCAGCAGCTGGTGGTCCAAAGAGAACCCAGCGTGATCCTTGGAGATCGTTCTCTTCCAAACTTTCCCATCAAATAGCCAAAACAAGCAGCAGCAAAAAAGAACCCCCGATGATAGGAAGTGTGTGTGTGTGTGTGTGTGTGTGTGTGTGTGTGTGTGTGTGTGTGTGTGTGTGTGTGTGTGTGTGTGTGTGTGTGTGTACGCCAGCTACATCTTTACAGATCTTTACAGAAAACACTGGAAACCAGGACTGTCTTTTATGTGTACGATGTCAGCTGGAGACCTCGTTGTCAACGTCTTCCTCCGCTTATCCGGGTCGCGGGGGCAGCATCCCAACTAGGGAGCTCTAAACCGTCCTCTCCCTGGCCACCTCCACCAGCTCCTCCGGCAGGACCCCAAGGCGTTCCCGGACCAGATTGGAGATGTAACCTCTCCAACGTGTCCTGGGTCGACCCGGGGGCCTCCTGCCGGCAGGACATGCCCGAAACACCTCCCCAGGGAGGCGTCCAGGAGGCATCCTGACCAGATGCTCAAACCACCTCAACTGACTCCTTTCGATCCGGAGGAGCAGCGGTTCTACTCAGAGTCCCTCCCGAATGTCTGAGCTCCTCACCCCATCTCTAAGGCTGAGCCCGGCCACCCTACAGAGGAGACTCATTTCGACCGCTTGATCCGTGATCTCTTTCTTTCGGTCATTACCCAAAGCTCATGACCATAGGCGAGGATTGGGACGAAGATCGACCGATAAATCGAGAGCCTGGCTTTCTGGCTCCGCCCCCTCTTCACCACAATTATGATGCATTTATGTAAACCAGGTTTTTCACTGACACTCATTCAGAAACCTGAGAGCAACACACACACACACACACACTCACTCACTCACTCACTCTCTCTCTCTCTCTCTCTCCTTGGGCCTGCAGGTCAGATGAATTCAATCATTCAACCTTTATTTACACACAATAGCTTTGTTCTTAAAAGCATAAATTATGTAACAAAAGTAGTTTTTCATTGGATTACAGTTACAGGCTGTAACTGTAGTTGTTTTCGCCAACTAAAATCATTTAAGCATCATTTTGAAGAGCAGCACTTGATTTTAAAGGAACATTTTAAAAGCTTAAAATGCGTAAAGTAGCCTGTGCAACAGAAGGTGCCGTGTGGTCCATCGGAGCTCTGGACCGCTGTAGCCGAGTCACCGATCCCTCTCTGGAGCCACGCTTTCACGTCCACACTCATTAACTCGGATGCAGTGATTTTCATAAACCGCTGCTCCAAAAAAAAATCACCCAAACACAGAAACAGAGCATCGAAGGGTTTCCGGTAAAAAAATAATTTCAAAGCTAAAATCCAAATCAGATCTTTTTTTTGACACAGAACCCAAGGCTAGAAATTCCCATTCCACTCTTTTTGCCTCTTCTGAACTTTGACACCGCGCCGCACCACCCTCCTGATAATTTGTTCTATTTTGTGTGCATCTATAAAAGCCCTCCCTGCTCTAGTTCCTGCCGTGTCACGCAGCTCTGGAACATTTTTCCTGCTCCACTCAGACTATAAAAGGCCAACAAGTGTAGAGGATGGTGTGGAGGGAGGCTCCGGCCGCAACAGGTGAGTGAGTTCTGGACCCTGTGTGGTCCGCTCACATGAAGACAATGATATTTATAAAACATCCTTCCCCACCCAGAAAGTCAATATTTCATGAAAACAGAGGCTTGACAGGCACAAAATGAAAAGTTTGACTCAAAAACCTAAACGTGAGGTTGCACCTGCCTGGAATCGGTTTAAAACGAGGCATGTAGAAGAAAATGAGTAAGCAGAATATAGTTTTTACCTTTCTTATGAGACAGGAGTCCCGGTTTTATAATCCAACAGAGACGGCTCTTTGTTGACGTGCTGCTCAGGAAGTCATTCACAGGTAGTGAGAGTCTAAAAGGTCACTCTCTCTCCTCTCTCTCTCTCTCAGGATCTGCTCTGACAGGCTCTGGCTTCTCTTTATAGGCACGGATAACCACTCCCCCTGACTGCCCCCTTCACTCCCGGCCCTGTCCCTTGCTTCACCGCCTCCGCCTCTCTCTCCCTCTCTCAGACTCCCTTTCCTTCTGGGTCCTCCAGTTTGGCTCCTTCTCTGTGCGTTTCCTCTTCTTATCTCCGCTCCACGGGTTGTTGCCTCCGCTGTCACCTTCATGAACAAGTGTGAATTATAGCTGTGGCTTTTAGAGGGCTTACGGTGACTCCTGCTCCTCCTTCTGGATGCAGGTTGCATAACTTCAGGCATTCTGGAGGTCATTGGATGGATGAGGGAACACCCTTCAGCTTCTAGAAACAACTCTGTTTACCCTAAATCTCTCCTCTCTTTTGTAATCATGTCCTCTGAGTGACAAAACAAAAATAAAGTTATTATCAAGGCCAAAACACGGCACAAAATGTGTTTTTTTTTTAATCCTGGGGTTTATACATCATCTACAGAATCCACATTCAAGATGCAAATTTGCACAGATTTGGTGATTTCCCTGAATTCTTGTGCGTGCTTGTAAAACGCTGCAATATGGATGTATTTTTCATTAATGCAGAAACTTTTTGTTTATCTGAGCAACACTATAATGTGCAGGAGGACGCAGCTGTGTCTCCAAGCCCTCCATCTGGTTTGATCAATAAGCTAAAGGCGGAATCAATAACTGAGACACAGCAGGGTGTTTGACAGAAGGGACAGAAAGCACAAGTGTTTATCTTTTTGTCACTTTATGGTACTGGAAAATTTGGGTGTTACACGAAACAAAATGGTGTATTTTACTGTTAAGATCTTGGTAGGTCTGCATAAACCCAACCAAAATGTTAAAAAGACAGAATATTTGTCCGAAAAACAACCAAAATGTGTCTATTTTTGTTTATTTCTGTTATTTGGGGGCAATAAATTCAGTGATTTACTGTGAATTAATAAAAAAAAGGTAATATTAATCTCAAACATTTAAATTTTTATTCCTAAATTTTACTTTTTTTAAATTACGTGTATTTATTTTATTTTATTTTTTTTGCTGACAGTAAAAAGGTACACAAATGTGTAGTTTCCTGCTCCTCCGCCCTACAGGTTGAAAGTGGAATTACAACTGTCGTAAACAACCCTGCAGCCGCCTGCTGTAGCTAGCTAGCCTGGCGAGCCAGACTAAATAAATGTATTATTTAGTCCGGCAACGCTCCATTGACGGCTCTCGGTTGTGGGGCGGGTTCTACCGTTGTCTTTCAAATGATCTCCGCATGTTACTGGACAATGAATACTCACCGCAACAGCTATCGGTAAATGAGGCGGTCCACAGTTGAAGAAGGAGAAAACACGTCAGTTTTTCTTAAAAAAAGCACTTAAATACATCTATCTGCTCCTGATTCTAATGAAGCCCAAGTTCTAATAGTCCAAAATTGATGTAAAAGCTGTTACAAACGAGCTGTCGCCATCTTGTTTTGCTCTGTTGCATCATCCCACCCACCAGGCATATAGAGTGCCCTGATTGGCCCACAAAGCAGATAAAGCTCTGTGATTTTTTCATTAAGCAGATAGAGCACTATGATTGGCCCACCATTATGGACCAATCACAGTTCTTTATGTGTTTGAAATCCCTCTAGAGAGCTGTGATTGGCCAGCCAGAATGCTGTTAGGGGCTGCAGAGGTTCCAGTGGAGCGTTCCTATAGACCAAACTTTGCAAAGCAAGAATTTGGTCTACTTCACTAGGCTAGTAGCTAGCGCTAACAACGAGCTAATGCTAACATTAGCCAACAAATACTAAAATAAACCATGAAGTTAAAAGATCCACACT